TTTTGGTTGATATTCTGTCGCCTCCCCATTAAATGAAACAACCACAAAAATTAGAGACTGTTCATTTCTTTGTAAGTAGGAGACAAAAAATAGGCAGGTGTTCAAATAACTGTTTTTTCCACTGTATCCACTTTTCTTAAAAGCTTATCAGGTTCAGTGTTGTAGTTAGTAAAAAGTGTATTTATACTAAAAATATAATTTGATGTGAACATTTTTGGCAGAATAAAATTAAAAATTTATAGTATAAAATTCAATTGTGGTTTATTATCTAAAAGTTGGTGTTCCAAGAGAGGGTGCTGTGACACCCTAATTGTTTCATGGCATTTCATCATTTACATTTTTCCACCCAGTTCTTTAAATTGTTCTGATTCAGTCATTTACTTTTATGTTATTGTTCTAAAATGAACTACAGATAAACCAAAGGCAAGACTTGGTGCTGATAGGACAGCTGTTCCAATAGGGGGCAGTGTGACCTTGAATTGCTCTGTGAGCCCATCATCATCATCATCATCATCATCATCATCATCATCTTCGTGATGGAAATACTACTGGTACAGAAATGAAACATACTCCCAACCCCTGACAACACAAGATGCAGTTTTTCAATCACATGCAGGGCTCTAGAGTGCGACCAATTTGCGACCAACACAGCAGGTTAGAATGTTTGCAAAGAACAATAAAAACAGCTTCTTCCAAGGTGTGAGTTCAGTCTCTTCATCAGATCGGTTGTCGAAAGTTTAACAGGTTCATCTCACAATCACTTAAGTCAGTTCAGAGGTGACTTTTTCCAAATGTCTCCATCATGGACATATTTAGTTCTGCTAACAGGTTAGTGTGTCAAAAGCTCCATAAATTCTAAACTTGGTATGACTCAGCTCTCAGGTAAGTCTCTGCAGATGCCTGATGTGCCAGAATGGATCTCAGACAAAGAAGACAGACTCGGTAGGTAAGGCTGCTTAGTTTAGCAGGTGAGTACATAAACAACACAAGTCATGTGGTCTTAGTGATGCTACAAACTGAGTAGTTCAACAGTCTGGCAATGAGTACCTGGGAGAGCTGGATTTCAACGCAGCAGGTGAGTGCAATGAGTATCAGATGCATCTGAGTTCAGACAGCCAGAGTTTATTAGCCTCCATCCACCTCTCACACACAAATAAGACACAAGCTGAAGTGTCGCTGCTAACAGTTGATTTTTATTTCAATTTCTTTGAATGTATTGTACTTGTCAGGAGTTTAAATCGACTTCTAAGTCCACATGTCCAACATCTCTGTATCATATACCTGCTGATCAAATGTATCCTGAGCTCTGACTTCTCTTTTAGAGGACAGTCTGATGTATGCTGAGGTCAAACACCCCAAAAAAGGAAAAGCCAAGAAGAAAGCAGGTAAACAAAGTCTGCCATCACCTCCAGTGAATGTTGTTCAACATGTTTATCTGGTCTTAAAATCTTCTTTCCACTCACAGGAAACTCAAGTCCTGCAGCTGATGCAGCAGTTTATTCTGAAGTCACATCAGGAAGCTTTCCTGGTAATTATGCTTCTGTGCAGGATGAGTTATTCTTCAAGTTATTAAATGGTGAACATCCTGAAACTTGGACATTTGTGTTCTTTGTGTGTTTGTCTTACAGGTCAGTGAGGAGAGCTGCAGCAGCAAAAAGAAGCATTTTATGAATCCACTGTTGCTCCTCTGCTGCCCAAATATCAGACACACTCAGTTTTTTGTCACTTTTGTTAAGATGATATTAAATAATAATATGACATAGATATAGTATCGGGGGCGTCCTGTGACTTGTAGGGCAAGCAGAGACGATGTTTGTAGTCTCTGTGAGGACCACCTTTCTATGAAAACTAAATTAAACTAAAAAAAGTTGTTTATAAGGTCAAAAATAAGGTCTACTGGTGATTTAAAAAGCAAATAAAATACATTTATCACAAAAAAGAGCTCCACGCTCTGTGATCAAATGTTTGTGCATGTTGGAGATATTTTCCCTCTTTGTTGTGATCAGTGTTGGTAAAAGTAATGCAATATGTTACTCTATAAAATAACCTGAAATACACAAGCTAATAATCTCCATTTAACAATACAAACCTGAGGTTACAGTCACACACCAACACAAATCCCTGTCCTAATGAGGACACAAATATAATTTTTCTCTTAGTATTCAGGAATGAACCTTAAAGTCGACAGCACCAAGCAAAGATGAAAACCAGTACAGAGAGACGCGATCTTGATATCTTGATGGTGATTCTCTGTAGAAACATGAACAGGTAGAAACAGACGCTGCAGTCTGACTGCTCCTCTGTTTGTTACCTTTTGAAGTTCGGGTCCTGGGGTCAGCATTCACTCAGCTTTAACATCACTCTTGGTTCTTGGCTAGGTTAGCATTAGCATGCTGTCTGTGTGCAGATGCTTTGACAGAGCCAAAGTTGTGTTGCCAGCATAGTGCAGTTATTTTCTATTCTGGAAGCATGACAGGTTGTGCTTTACTATCACGCTCTTGTCCATTTATGCAATAAAAATAAGAGTAATGTCCATATTCACACTCTGGAGTGCACTACTATTTTCATCCTTTGCCACAATGCATGATAAGAGGAATTGTTAGGCAAATAGACAAGCAATTTCAATTTTATTATAATTACTTCAATCCACACACAAATAAGAAGCAATCTGACCACACGTAACATTTATTAAGTTTAGCTTCACAAATCCCATAATTTTGTCTTTCAAAAACCTGTCTGTACGTACAAGTGCCCGCTTTATTTCAGGATAAAAACAAACAAACAAACAAAACCAAAAGTCAAACATTTGGATATGTCTGATATCACCACACTAGAAGCAGAACATGCGTGAAGGCGCTGCAGGAGACCAGCACTATGAGGACTAAAGACCACAAGATCATCTGTGTAAACAGTGTGGTTCACAAGAGTCCTGCCAGTCATGCAGCCACTGTGTGTGTGTGTGTGTGTGTCTGTTCTGGTGTTCTCATATTTGTGTAGTTTTGGGACAGTGAGGAGGGTTTCCACCTCTGGGTTGCAGAGTGCAGAGCTTCAGTTGATGCTGGATCATTGTAGGACAAACAGTCAGTGTCACTCTGGCTTGTAAGTCAAGACCTTCCTTTTTGTGTTTTTAAAATTACTTACCCGTTTTCTCCTTTATGTCCAGGAATCTTGGGGAGGGGAAAGCTCAGAGACTTTTTTTTAAATAGTTCTGGAAAAGCTGTGGAAGGATGTTTTTTGTATTTGGAGAATCAGACCAGGAGCTGGGGATTACACTGCTGTGGATGTCACTTTTTTAACTGTTTTTTTTTTTCACCATTTTCACTTGTAAAAAATTCCCTGTTTCTGCTAAGAAAGTGCAGCTATTCAGTCCTGCTTCCCTGCTCAGTGGCAAAACCTTAAACTATTGGCTTAAAGTAGTTTGGTCATTCTCCTGACATCAACAAGGCATTTTCACCCAGATACCTGCCACTCACTGGGGATTTTCTCCTTTATGGTCTTTTACTAGTAAACCCAGATAACCCAGACCAGCCTGTCAGCCATGTCACATTCAATCACCTTTCTTCCTGACGCTCAGTTTGAAGATGAATAATATAGCAGACCAGTCACTAATAAAATGAGTCAATGAAATGTGGCCAAACCTGAAAATTAGACTTAAAATTGTGTTTATGTGAGTATTTTCTCAAACAAGTCAAAAATAAAGTTTGGTTCCAGAGGAGATCTGTAGAGTTACACCAGGATCTCTGAGTTTAGGGTTTCACTACAGTTAAATTCAATATCTTCATAAATTCATAAAAGTTACACAGTACATGTTGGGAAATAATACCAAAACTTACATAGTGTATTTTAAGATACTACAAAACAACAACAATACTGCATTTTGTTGCCTTTTATTTGTGACATGTGCAATGACAATAATTCTATTCTAGTCTAACAACAAACAAAGTAAAACTCCTGTGCCGTGGTGTTTGAATGTTTGTGTGTCTCTGTGAGTTAGTCATGTGACACAGTGGTGACCTGTCCACGTCTGCTTCTGGATGGAGGGTAATAATATTTTAAAAACAAACAGACAAATAATGCAGAGCTGCACCTCACAGTGTGTACTGACGATGTTTTCGCACCCAGCTGTGTTTTCTTCCTCTAGAAAGCCACATGTGGGACAAGCACAGGACAGCGAGTGATGCTCAACATCATCAAAGGCCATGACTGGATCATCAACTCGCAGAGCTCTGGACACAAATATCCACTGCGACCTAACCAACTTGTTTTAATGATCAGACTTTTCTTTCTTCAATAATTAGTAATTAATAATAGTAGGAATGTGTACATACACGAATTCAAAGTACTTCTAAATGGAGAGCACTGCGCCCTACTGAAAAAAATAGAAGGTAGTATCACAATACAGCTCCAATAAAAGCTTTAAAGCAAATCATAAAGCCAAGAAAATCTAATCAAGCCCAAACAATCTTTAATCTTTACTCAGATTAAAATACAAGAGAAAGTGGAGTCAAAGTCAAATGTATTTATATACTATGTTCAAAACAACAGAGCTGATCACAGTGCTCTACATTCAAAATAAATAACTTTTAAAAAACTATGTAAAATTCAGAAAAAGTGAGAACAGCAAACAACATTAAAAAAAAACATTCACAGCTTCAGATTAAAATACGAGATACATTAAAACTACAATAAAAGTATCTGACATTAAATGAATCATGATGCAGCCAGAGCTTTTTCATGTTTTTATACCAAATAATTATTTTTTACACAATATAGATCTTTACACTCAGACAGTAAAAGTATTTGTGGGTGTTTATACCAGCACTTCCTAATGTAACTCTGCTGACTTTAAGTTGCTGCTATCAGTTACTAAAAATCACAGACTTTTTTCTCTGTGGAACAGGATACATTCAAAGTTTTATACAAAAGTTCAACAATGAATAAAAATATCAGCTAAATATAAAGAGCATGACTCTGAAACAGGAAACATCTCTGTGTGCTTTATGCTAAAACACAGTACCAACTATATATCATATTATTATTCAATATCATCTTCATAAACACTAAAGACTGAGCATCTGATATTTGAGCAGCAGAGGAGCAACAGTGGATTCATAAAATGCTCCTTTTTGCTGCTGCAGCTCTCCTCACTGACCTGTAAGACAAACACACAAAGAACAGAAATGTCCAAGTTTCAGGATGTTCGCCATTTAATAACTTGAAGAATAACTCATCCTGCACAGAAGCATAATTACCAGGAAAGCTTCCTAATGTGACTTCAGAATAAACTGCTGCATCAGCTGCAGGACTTGATTTTCCTGTGAGTGGAAAGAAGATTTTAAGACCAGATAAACATGTTGAACAACATTCACTGGAGGTGATGGCAGAATTTGTTTACCTGCTTTCTTCTTGGCTTTTCCTTTTTTGGGGTGTTTGACCTCAGCATACATCAGACTGTCCTCTAAAAGAGAAGTCAGAGCTCAGGATACATTTGATCAGCAGATATATGACACAGAGCTGTTGCACACATGTGGATTTAAACTCTGCAGATCAAGTCTGATTTGAAAGTCCAAATGAGGAATGAGTAACACGGTACAAAGTCTTCCAACTCTTTTGAGAGACAAAAAAATGATAATTTCACTTCATAAGTCCACAGTGATTGGGCAACTGAAACTTTTGACTGTGACTCCACAGTGCTTTCTTCCGATGTTACTCATCTTTAGCAAACTACATAAAGAACCTCGAACCTTCCCAAACAGCTCCATTTATACTCATCTGCCCGTCTGAATCACTCCCTTCTTTCATCCCTTACTCATATTTTATATGCCCTACATCTATTCCACATACACACATTTCCATGTTATTGGCACATCTGATACTTTCCTGTATCAAAAAAACAGCGTAAAAAGTGCTCTGCTGTGCCTCCAGTGATAGAGCACACTCAGATTATGTGTTATTTGATGGTCTTTGGTTATGTGATTGGTGGTCTGGTTCAGAAGCTCTGGATGCTGTGATTCAGTAAATCCAGATGAAAAGTGGACTTTTTGCCTCCAAGATTTAGGACTTATGTGAAAGGCAACCCAACAAATTAGTGATGTGTTGGTCGCGAACGAAACGGCTCTTAGAGCCGGGTCTTTGACGTTAACGACGCGAGCCGTGGGTTTTTTTTCCTTCTTTCTCTCACCCTCTCTCTCGCACTTATTTTCCGCTTCACTCCGTATGCGAGCCTTGTGCTTTGGGCTGGGAAGAGGGGGAAGGGGCAGTAGTTACACGCAAAGTAGCACAGGAACAGAGCGGGAGGGAGAGACAGTGTCCCAATTAAGAGACCGCACGCTTGAAGTACGCATTTTGAGTGCGATTACGTCACCGCCACACGACGACGACTGTCCCAATTCGACGTGTACTTCAAATGCATACTCCAAATGCGCCGTCAATTTCCCCAAATATCAAGCGTGGTCTGGTGCACTACGCGTACGGTGCGTACTATAAGTACGAGAAGTGCGGACAGTTCTCTTCGGCCGCTCCCTTCTGCCGTATTTTGGAGAAGGGTCTGGCTGCAGCCACTGGGGAGCGTTATTCTTGTGGGGTATTTTGCGACAAAATTATCCACACCCACCGCCGCGCTATGAATTGTGGGATATATGGGACCACGAAGCGTTCACCGGACCACACTTGATATTTGGGGAAATCGACATTTGGAGTATGCATTTGAAGTACACTTCGAATTGGGACAGCAGTCGTCGCGTGGCGGTGACGTAATCGCACTCAAAATGCGTACTTCAAGCGTGTGGTCTCTTAATTGGGACACAGCCAACGTCACATTAGAAAGGTATAGTAATCATCCACAACTATTATCAGTTGCAGATGATAAAGGATTCAGAAAGTTTATTCATGCAGACCCATATAACAGAGAATGTGCATCTTTTTTTTGTTTTCATATTTTAATTTATATTTAATTGTGTTGTGGTTTGCAGTGTTTTGTGTTGTTTCACTTTAAATTTCTTTAAAACACGTGTCAAAATCAGAGATCATTTTATATAGATGTACTATTATTGTTATGCATGGCCCGGTGATATGAGACGCTAATAATATACAAACTACAGATCCCATAATGCAGCGCTGCAGCCTCCTTGCTGAACGCTAGGCTAACTGGGAACATTCCCGCGTCAATCAAGTCAAACTGCTGTTATTGTGAAGCTAGCCGCTCACAATGGTGCAGAGAAACGTTGATTCTGAAAGCAGAGCCTTTCAGCGCCAGTGGGTGACTGAATATATGTTTACAGACATTGCTGGTAAACCCGTGTGTCTTATTAGTGGAGCTAATGTGGCTGTAATGAAGGAATTTAATTTAAGACGGCACTGCGAGACAAAACGTCAGGATAAGCTGAAAAACCTAAATGCAGAAACTACAGGAAATAGTGATGGGATTTCCGGCTCTTTCGGCTCCGAACCGGCTCTTCAGGTTGTTTTGTTGCTTTAATTAATATATTATTAACAATAATATAAAATTATGCACAAAGGGAATTACTGATGTACAAAAAAAAGTGGTTTTATTTATATATGTTTATATATAAATATATGCGGTGGACCCTAGGGACAAAACACGTACAAACTCCAAAACACATTTCTAGCATGAATTGAACTTCCAAAACAGAGCTACCTAGATCACTTAAATTACACAATTGAAAGCATATGTGTATTGTTTATGTATTTATACACAAGCATTCATATATAGTCAAATAATTTAAAAAAAATGTTCATTTACACGTTATTACCACACACTTCTGTGCTTCTGAGTTTTAACGTGTTTTGGAGTTTGTACGTGCTTTGTCTGTAGGGGCCACCATAAATATACTTTTATTTATTCACTCCACATAAAATGTAATAAATAAATCATATAATACAAAAATCAACTATTCACATTTCAACTTTTAACTATTTAAATTTTCAGCTTTTTCCTTTACAAATTTAAAGTGAAACAACACAAAACACTGCAAAACACAACACAATTAAATACAAATTATAATATGAAAACAAAAAGAACATGCATATTCTCTGTCATATGGGCCTGCATGAATAAACTTTCTGAATCCTTTATCATCTGCAACTGAAAATAGTTGTGGATGGTTACTATACCTTTCTAATGTGACGTTGTTGTCCCTGGCTCTCTTTCTCTCTCTCTCCCTCCCGCTCTGTTCCTGTGCTACTGAGTGCAACTACCGCCCCTCCCCCCTCTGCCCAGCTTAAAGCACAAGGCTCGCATGCTGAGTGAAGTGGAAAAAAGTGCGAGAGAGAGGGTGAGAGAAAGAAAAAAAAAACCCACGGCTCGCGATAAGGAGCCGGCTTGCGTCGTTCACGTCAACGATCCGGCTCTAAGAGCCATTTCGTTCGCGACCGACCCATCACTAACAGAAAGTAGAAGAGCTAAAGAAGAATCTGACATTTCAGCAGACTTTTTTCACCAGAGCAAAAATCAAAGTGAAGCTGTTGTGAAAGCAAGTTTTATTGTAGAAGAGAAGATAGCCAAATCAGCCCGGTACCACTCTGAAGAGCTGCATGATGAAGGTGTGCGACGTCTTGTGTCCAGACAAAACGCAGATTTTGACAAATGTGAGCCTGAGGAGAAATACGATTGCTGATCGGGTTTGTGACATGGCCACTGATTTAAGAACACAGTTGTGTGAAAGAAGCAAAAACTTTATTGCATCTTGCTGTGGATGAAAGTACAGACATGATTGTCGTGGTTTTAGGCAAGGATTCAAGCGACACCTTGTAGAGCACTCAAACTCTGACCTTTATTATCTACTTCCTGCTTCAGAACCCCCCTTTCACAATAAAACAGGTTATACTCAAACAGATTACACCACATCCTCCTTTCGCTGAAAACATCAAACTTACAAGAACATTTACTGCATATATGAAAACTGTACTCTTTTTTTTTCTTAGAACCTTTCATAGAAACTTTTCTTTCTCTTCAACCTTTTTTCCTTTACTTTTAAACCCATGTCTTTTTTTTTTTGTTTCGTTTATTTTCACAAGTCCAGTCTTTGTGGTTTTTTGACAACCCTGCCAGCCCTAGTTCTGACAGGACCTGGGTCTTCTGTCTTAGGAGTCAGAGTTGTAGCCGCCGATAGGTTTGAAGCAGGCAGGGTGTTCTCTGTTGGACTGACAGGCGTAATTGGGGTTTGTAACTTTGGTGTGGCATCTGGCAATGGCTGGAGGTGATGCCTATTTCTCCTGATGGCTCCTGAAGGGGTCTCGACAATGTATGAGCGGGGTGTGGAGTGAGAGGAGATGACAGTCCCTTCACGCCTAGTGTCTGTAATCCACACTGGTTGTCCCGGTGAGAGTGGAGGAAGTTCTGTCACACGATGTCTCCTGTTGTACGCAACACTGTCCTTCATCACTCTCTCTCTCGCTTTTGTCAACACTGTAGCCTTGTTGGGCAGGCTGGGATTGAGCAAAGAAGGAAGCTGGGGAACTGACGTGCGCAGTCTTCGTCCCATTAGTAGTTGCGCAGGGCTATATCCATTAGCCAATGGGGTTGCTCTGTAAGCTAGAAGTGCAAGATATGGGTCTTTTGCTTTCTTTAGCAGACTTTTCACAGTTTGGACATGACGCTCAGCCTCACCATTGCTTTGTGCAAATCTTGGACTGCTTTTTACATGCCTGAACCCATAAGCTGCTGCAAAGTCTTTGAACTGTTGACTTGAAAACTGAGGTCCATTGACACTGTAGAGAAACTCTGGAATCCCATGTCTGGAAAAGATTGATTTTAGATGCACTATAACATCCTCCGATCTTGTGGGAGTACATTTGGCTATTTCCACAAATTTAGAGTAGTAGTCCACCAGAAGCACATAGTTGCTGTTGTTAAACGTAAAAAGGTCTGCTCCAACTTTTTGCCATGGTCTCTCAGGGAGTTGGCTTGGCATTAAAGGTTGCACTGGGTTGGTACGCTCTTTGATGCATATGGTGCAGTTTTTCACAAGTTCATTTATTTGCCCACTCAGACCAGGCCACCATACTGTCTTCCTGGCTCTCTCTCTGCATCTAGACATTCCCTGATGTCCCTCGTGTAGGGCAATGAGGACAGAGTGGCGCATAGCAGTAGGGATCACTAGTCTGGTGCCTTTCAGTGGCAGATCGTCGTGTACCGTTAAGGTGTCTCTGTGTGGCCAATATGCTTTAATTGGTCCTGTGAGATTGCTGTATTCTGGCCAGCTGCTCTGACAAAAAGCCATGACATCTGAGCACATGCTGTCGGTTTTAAGCTGTTCCTTTAACTGTGTGATGTATGTCGAGGTAGCAGGCATGCATTTGACTATTTCATCCACATATATATTTGTGTCATCCAGTAGTTCAGCTGTAGCCTTAGAATCAGGGTCTTGGTTAACGGGTGCACGTGACAGTGCATCTGCTGTGAGGAGTGCTTTGCCTGGAGTGTGTGAGATGGTGTAACTGTACCTCATGAGCCTTAGGCAGAACCGTTGGATTCTGGGTGGAAGCTCAGTTAGAGCTTGCTGTCCTAGCAGGCTGACGAGTGGTTTGTGGTCAGTCTCTAAGGAGAAGTGTCTCCCGATGAGAAAATCTTTGAATCTTTCACAACCCCATGTTAGTCCAAGCGCCTCCTCCTCCACCTGTGCATACCTCTGTTCTGTTTCCGTTAAAGAACGAGATGCATATGCAACAGTTCTCCATTGCTCTCCCTCTTTTTGAAATAGGACTGCTCCCAGTCCATAGGAGGAAGCATCTGCAGACAGTTTTAACTCTTTGTTTGGGTCATAGAGTGCAAGAATGGGAGTTGACGTCAGATCGCCTTTTAGCTGATTGAATGCTTTTTGCTGTGCGCAGCTCCAAACCCACTGATTTTTCTTCGAGAGCAGGTCTCTTAGGGGCTTGTCTCTTTCGGCCAGTCCTGGGATGAATTTGCCTAATTGGTTAACCATCCCGAGAAAGCTGCGCACGTCACTGACGTTTGATGGCTCTTTCATTGCTGTGATCGCTCCAATTTTGTCTGGGTCTGGCTGTACTCCCTCCACAGACAAAACGTGTCCGAGGAACTTCACTTCCTGTTTGCTCAGGTCACATTTCTCCAGGTTTAGTGTGACACCAGCCTCTTGGAGTTTATTGAGCACTGTGTGCAGCCTGGCGTTGTGCTCCTGCTGATCCTGTCCCCAAATGAGGATGTCATCCATGTGACAAACCACACCTGGCAGCCGATTAAGCATCACTGACATTCTACGCTGAAAATGTTCTGGGGCTGACGCTATTCCGAAGGGAAGTCTGTTAAAGTGGAAGCGCCCAAAGGGTGTAATGAATGTTGTGTAGTGTGCTGACTCTGGTGACAATGGAACCTGCCAGAAGCCTCTTTTTGCATCTAACTTACTGAAGACTTTTGCTCCCGCCAGGGATCCAAGTGTCTGTTCAACCGAAGGCAGGATGTACTTTTCTCTGCACACTGCTTCATTGAGGTGAGTGAGGTCAGCACAAATACGCACATAGTCGTTTTTTGTTGGCACTGGGACTATACCTGCACACCATTCTGTTGGTTCTTCAACTCTTCTGATTACTCCCATGGACTCCATTCTTTCCAGTTCCCGTTTCACCTTTCCTAACAAAGGGACAGGGACCCGTCTTGGTGTGGCGAGGGAAAAAGGCACATCATTGGGTTTCAACTTAATCGTATAAGGTTGTTGCATTAAACCTAATCCCTGACACAGCTTTGGGTAGTTCTCATTCAACACATTCAAGTCAATACTGTCAGCTCTACACACAAGGTTCAGCTTGACACTTGCTGGCCTGCTTAACAGTGCTATGTGCAAATCTTTGATAATGTACACATGTTCCTGTATTTCCTGTTCGCCTTTGCAAATTGTTTCTCTGCTCATACCCAACACATCAAGTGGAGTACCACCTGGACCAAACAATGGTCTATCTGGTTTACATAACTCTGTCTCATTTTGGTTTATGCAGTAATACATCTGGGCTGGGATAACAGAGACGTCAGCTCCTGTGTCTATCTTAAATCTAACTTCGTGGTTTCTGATAGTAAGGTCTGCATACCAAGGATCTGAACCTGCGTCTACAGAACCAAGGAACACGGGCGTATCATCACTTTTCTCTGTTTCTATCAAATGCACAGATTTAACAGATTTACACACTTTACGGAAGTGTCCTCTTTTACCACATGAGTGACATGTTGCATCTTTTGCTGGGCATTGTCCTTTACCATGCGCAGGGGTTTTCCCACACCTGTAGCATGATCTCCCATTTGGTGTTTTGTCCTTTGTTGTGCATTTACGTTCTCTTCGGGGTTTGAATGTTGAATGCTTTTGTTCCCTGTGCTTCACTGTCACAGCATCTATTTTCATCTTATTTTCCCCTCTGATGTCTGTCTGTTGTTTTTTGATGACTTCAGACTGCCGGGCCTGATTAACCGCTTTCTCCAACGTCAAATCTTTCTCCATTTGAAGTCTCTCCGCTAAGCTGATGTCCCTCAGACCCACGACGAGGCGATCTCTTATTAACTCATCGTGCAGTGCACCAAAACTGCAGTTTACAGCTAAAGCATAAAGTGCGGTGACAAACGAGTCAACAGTCTCATTAGCTTGCTGTGTTCTTTGATTAAAGCGGGCTCTCTCATAGATAATGTTTTTCCTGGGAACAAAGTACGTATCCAAAGTGTCTCTTACTGCTTGGTACTGCTGCCTTTGTATGTCCGATAAAGCTTGCCCTCGGAGGATATCATCTGCTTCATCCCCCATGCAGTAGATGAGTGTGTTTACCTGGTTAGCCTCTAAGCTAAGGTCAAAATCTTTCAAACCTCCTTATCCACTTTTCCCATTGCTGTGGCTTTGAGAAATCAAACAGCTCGGGAGGTTGGATGGTGAATGTGGCATTCGGGGGTAAGTTGGCGTTAGCATTATAGCCGCCGTTAGCTTGCTGGTGGGGCCGTGACATGCGAGGCTGTGTAGCTGTTGCACTAGCTCCTGCTTCTTCGTCCGACATCTTATCGTCTGGAGAAAAACTCTTTACCGCTCCCAAAGCCGCTTGCCGTCACTCCCCGATGACAAGGCTCTTACTGCAATCCCACTTCTGACACCATGTCGTGGTTTTAGGCAAGGATTCAAGCGACACTTTGTAGAGCACTCAAACTCCAACCTTTATTATTCTACTTGCAGTTTCAGAACCCCCCTTTCACAATAAAACAGGTTATACTTAAACAGATTACACCACAATGATGGACATTGCACAGCTGACCATCTTCATCCGTGGAGAGGAAATACTGAACATTAAATCGATGCACGGGACAACGACAGAAAAAGACATTTTTTAAAACGTATGTCAAAGTGTAACCGACATGAAACTGCCCTGGGACAAACTTGTTGGACTTACAACAGATGGAGCGCAGGTGTTGTGCGGTGAAAAAAGCGGACTAGTCAGCAGGATGCGAGTAAAGAAGCAGGAGCAGAACTGTACTGGTGAGTTAACAGCATATCACTGCATCACACACCAGGAAAGGCTGTGTGGTAAAGTCCTAAAAATGGAGCATGTAATGCTCACCGTAACGCAGACCGTACATTTTATCTGAGCTAAAAGTTTAAATCACCATCAATTTCAGTCTTTTACATGTGAAATAGATTCAGAGTTTGCCGAGATTTCTCATCATACAGAGGTCTGTTGGCTGAGTTGGGATAAAAATTCTCAATAGAGTTTTTGAGCTCAGCAAGGAAATCTGTCAGTTCATGGACATGGCATGTATGATGCGGTGAAGGCATTTCAAGTGAAGCTGTCACAAATGCACCAGTGCAACCTGCCTCACTTTCCCTGTTGCCAAGTAATGTTGAACCAAGTCAGCGGACTTTGCTGAACTGCACCTGTGCAGATTCAGATGGAGCTGCAGTGTAACGATACACTCAAGGGAAAGTACGACACTGAATGGGCGCACAGTTTACTAGTTCTATTCCTGAAGCAACGCCCAGCTCCGTCTACATGCGGCTCCAACCTTGTGTATGCTTTCATTTATTTTTTCTGGGGGTTTTGGCAGCATGTTCATATTTCTAACTTGCATAATTTTGACAGGATATATTTTTATGAAGAGCAAAATATTTAAATTTAAAGTTGATTATTTTTAAGTTTATTTAATCTGGAATAATGTTCCTGTCTGTTTTTATTCATATTTATGTTTAAAAACATTGTTTTAGTGTGTTCAATAAATGTTTATATTGTTTGGCCCGCAACCTAAAGTGTGCCTTGAGCTTTGGCCCCCTGTGCAATTGAGTTTGACACCCCTGCTTTAAAAGGAAAAAGCTGAAAATTTAAATAGTTAAAAGTTGAAATGTGAATAGTTGATTTTTGTATTATATGATTTATTTATTACATTTTCTGTGGAGTGAATAAATAAAAGTATATTTACGGTGGCCCCTACAGACAAAGGAACACGTATAAACTTCAAAACACGTAAAAACTCCAAACATGTACAAAAGACAACAGAAGTGCTCCAGGATGCTAGGCGCAGTGTTGAGCTTTTGTTACCTAGTGGCTACACAAGCACACAAACACTGAATGAGACTGTTGTGACTGTACCTGCAGCTCCCGTCTTCACCTCAGAGTAAACAGCACTCTGCTCTGGTTCATGATGCTTCCCTGTGAAGATGATAAGATTGTTGGACATAAGGAAATAATTAACTGTCAAATTTTTTAAAATGTTTATTTATTGTGTTTTTACATTACATTTACATTTATTAATTTTAAACTGCACATGTTTTATGTACTTACGCTTCTTTTCAAAGTTTTTAAGTTCAATCAGAGCGTATGTGACATCTTGATGTTCATCTGATCCTGAAATGTTCATATTTTAGTTACAGGATTGTAAACATTTCACATGGAATTAGTTTCATTAAATCAAAAACAAGTTTCTTCTCTAAATTCTCTGTGTTTTTCAACAAATATACTGCACCATTTCTGTTGTCTTCAACTGGCGTAACTGAGTCATAGATGTGATTGGTACCTAATAAAAGATGAGCCAGGGTCAAATTAATCATTGAATAAAAAACTAAAGATTAAATAATTATGTTTAAGTCAAAACCAGGCTATAACATATTTTGTTGTTACTCTTTGTGTTGTTCTGATATTAAACAACAACATTGGATTCTTTCAGTCGACTTAAAGACACAATCAGGTTGTAAAATCCTGTTTATTTCTCATTTTATGTTCATGTGTCAGCTGGCTGTTTGGATGTTTGTCCAACTAGATTTTGACGAACGTTCTTTGAAAAGCTGCTGAGCACAAAATGAACCTAAAAACTGTTCCTGTTAATGAAGACTGATTTTAAAAGTCAATATTAATAATGATAATCAAGATCAGTTTAAATACTGACCAGGATGAACAGAGTCGTACACATGAGTTTCATTCTGGTTGACTCCATGATTTGTGGAGGAGCCCGGACTGTGACTCTCAGACTGGATCGACCTGAAACATGAAATAAACACAATAAACTCAAAAGTAACTGATGCTTGTTTAAAATAATAATAAAAAGTATTTTACCAACCTGGTGAAGCAGGAATCTGTGAAAGAGACAAATGTTATTACACATGTTTGTCATGTATAAATTGTTCCACTGATATTTTGTGTCATGAGATCAGAATACATGTATATGTGTGAATAATTAAAGTGTATGTAGTAAATAAACTCTCTAATACAGCATGAAAAGAAGAGGCTCTTACACTTGGACTGTCTGCAGCGATACAACAAGAGCAGGAGAATAATAATGAGAGAGACTCCACAAACCAGTCCAACCATCAACCACACAGGAGATGAAGAGCTGTCAGTACCTGACACAGTTACTGCAACAACAAACAATAATGAATATTTCAGTGAGGTAACCAGGCAGGTCTCCGAGGATCCTTTCTAGGAAAATAAGGTTTGTATGCTAACAGATTTCCCCCTTGTTTCAGTTTCTTCCTGCTTCAATATTCGTTTTCATGCCATCATTCACCTCCAGTCAGACGCCTGCCACCTTGGATCATTACCCCCCTATTCACCACCACTGCTGCCCCCTCAGAGCCTCTTTCTCACTTGCCTGCCTGCCCATCGTTCAACAGTTTCCACAGACCTCTGCCTTCATCCACTAAACCCAGCTAGTCTGGACTCCAAGTAAGGCATAGTTGCAGCCACTTTATGAACACTCTCTGTCTTGTCACATTCCCTCAGATTTTCCTGCCCTGCCGCCCTCACACTGTTATGTCCGCTCCTCTGGCCTGTCTCTCTCACCTCAGTTAAGATGTTTTTGTAGGACTCGCTCATTAAGTTTAGGTTTATTTATGTCTTGTTCTTGTTGACCAAGTCAAAGCTCACAATCTGTTGTGTTAAATGAATTATCCTTTGTTTGAGTAAACTTTGACTCATTACATCCTCTGCTGTTTTCACCTGCTGTTAAACCTGACAATATAGAGATATTACATAATAGTTTTATAAAGTTCTTACAAAATAGATCCAGGTGACTTCGAGCCTTTAAACAGACAATCTAATGTTCCTTCTCAAGCATGAAACTCATTTATAAAGATCCATCAAATATTTTGTTCCTGCTCACCTTTAACTGACATCCAGCTCTGTGCTGACTCTCTTCCTGAGTACTGACACTTGTAGAAACCTTCATCAGACTTTGACACTGCAGAGATCTTCAGCTCCCCTCGGGTATCATTTTGAATAAGTTTGTCATTGTGATAGAAAAACACATTGGAAAGTATTTTTTGTGTTCTCAAACTGCAGCTCAGATTAACAGAAGCTCCCTCAGTCACAGGATGAACAGGACTCACCAGGATAGGACCATAATAATAATAATCTGTGAAAACAAAAAAACAAACATATTGTTTCAGTCAGACCAGCTGGTGCAAAACTTTTAGAAAAAGCTGTGAGTCGTGTCTCATGATCTACATGCTGACCTGGTTTCAGAGAGATTTTCTGAGAGCCTGGTTTTAATGACTGGAGACAATATTGAACTATCAATCAATCAAAGCTTTATTCGTCACATGCAGGTTGCCCTGCAGTGAAATGGGACCCCCCCCCGACCTTACACATATAGCACAAACATTACATGGGGATACAGGTCGGAGATTGGTAGAATCAGGAAAAAACATTGAAATGTACACTACAGTGGGGAAAGTACAAGAGGAAAAAAGAGACCCCTACTCATGCTGTGCTTCCATGGTAGGACAGCATGAGAACAGGAAACAAAAAAAAACTCCTTTGCACAAAAAAGCACATAAATGTCCACAGCACAACATTGTGAAGACATGACAAGCCACAGGGGTGGGTGGGGGGTGAGGAGTAATCCGAAGAAACACAGCAGCCACCCTGCACAGCGCTATCATTCCAGCGCGGCACACAGACCCGCCGTGTTCCCTCGCCGGAAACAAGCATCGAAGGCGTTGGAAAGGGAGGGGGGATGAGTGAGTGCCTATCAGTGTAAGTGTATGTGTGTGCGTGTCCATAGTTCAGCGGAGACAGTGTCCTTCGCTCTATCAGGCTAAGTAAACAGTCTGCCAGCCAACCCAGGTGGCCTTCATGGGACGGGAAGAATAGTCATCACACAGTCGTTATCAGGGAGTTGTTTTGGTGGGCTCCAGCCTTGGGCCTAGCAGCTGGCGCCATGGTGTCCAAATGTTGAATATTGTTGATTCCCTTTGTGAGCAGCTCGAATTTAGCCCTCTGACACTGGTCCCTCGATCTCCCGTTGGAGAGCCGCGAGCCTCCCCATGATGGTATCAAACTTCTGTTCCATGGTGTTGTCAGTCTTTTGATTCTGAGACCTCACAACTGCAGTGATCCGTTCCGCGATGTTTTCCAACTGTCGCTCAAGGGTGTCATTTTGAGTAGGCCTTTCTCTGATGTTTCCCCTCATACGCTCAATGGTGTTGTTTTGAGCCTTCACAGCAGCTGTAAGCGTCTCCAAGGTGTTGACCATATTACGTTCGTTGTGAGAGGTCGCGCCTCGTCCCGTCGCTTCGAATCCAGCGGGCAGCCTTGTGGGGGTTTGAACAGCCGGTTCCGCTCTCTTATTTCTCAGCATGAACCCTGTTATCATGGTTCCTAGAGACAATATTTCATGTTTAGATGTTCAGTTCAGTGGGTTCATCATGTGGATCATTCATGTAGTCACCACTTGCATTTTTTAGAAGGCTGAGGGTCCATGGAGTAAATAAATGCATCATGTTACATTTTATAGGGAGATTGTTGAATCTGTCATGTTATCACTACATGATTTGGCAAACTTTCTGTCAAGCTCAGATCCCAAATTCAAAATTTGATTAAGTGGGCTGGAAATATAGTTGGGATGCTCCCTTTATTTTCCCTGCAGGAGTCAAATATACAAATTGTAAACATTTGTATAGTTGTGTTATTTAAATAATGGAGACAATAAAAGTTCATCTAATGTGATAACAGAGATGTTGAGCTCTTTAGAGTTTTATTCTGACAGAGAAAATATAAAATTACTGTGTGCAAGTTTTTACAAACGTGATGTTTGAAAAGCATGAAAAGATCGAGTGAAATGAGACCAACAACAAAGAATATTTTGATACTTTTTTGTCTAAAATTGTCTCAGTTTTGTTTGTGTTGCCACATAGAATTACTTCACATAGAGCAAAGCTGAGACAAATGTTCATGTGACGTCTAAATCATTCAGATCCAAGAAGTAAATGTATAATAACATACTCTGTACAGTGATGTTGACTGCACTGCTGAACTCTCCTGATCCAGACTCACACCAGTACACTCCAGTATCTGACTTTGATGTGTAGATGTCACATGTGGATCCAGTCATTCTGCTACAGTCAGAGAGTCGGCCGTCCTCAGAGAACTTCCTCACTCTCCACTCAGTGAAGTTTCCCTCACAGGTCAGTGAGACAGAGTCAAAGGTGAAGTGTTGCACTCTGTCAGGACTCACTGTGAGAGACGCTGCTGAATGAACATCTGGAAACAACATGCAGTGAAGAGACAAAGCTCACAGATGTTAGGACTGCTATCACCCCATTTTACTTTAGACTGGCGCACCAGTAAACCAGGATTCTCATGATTTTTGATCCCCTCTTTGACTCAGACTAACAGAAGCGTTTTTGCGGTCTTCTTTTGCGGCTGGGTCAGTGAATCTTGGTTGGCGTGTGGTGAAACTAAGTGTGCAGCAAAAAGCTGCAGAAGCTAATTAGCCTTTGTTTATATCATTACATGGAGTCTGGAGAATTTTTGGATTGGTTTTGTTTGTTTTGCATTTATGTAACTGCTCTTTGAATCATCACTTATTTTTGCTGTGTTCGGTGGTTGTAGAAATGGCTTATTTGAGCATTTAGATTAGATTTTCTGTGGATATTACACATGGTGATATTTGCATAAAAGGCGTGACATCATGGGTTACATAATTTTTAAGCTGGGGCGTTGGAGCTTAATCTGTCAGCAGAATTCTTTCTACAAGTTTCCAAATCATACTGGCTCAGGTTAAAGGCAAATCATTCACGGGACTTTAGCTTTAACCCTGATCAGCACTAATAGAACAGACAACACTGAGTCTGACAACAAGCCCTGAATCACACAGACAGTCAAATCAGTGGAAAACAAAGGAGCCGAATACTGACATGTTTAAGATGATCTAACCCACATGCTTTATCTGCTGGCAGCTCATGTAGAGCTTGGTACAGGTCATGTGACATCATGAGCTTTGAGTCATCACTCTCAGCATCATCCACCTGATACAGATCACTCTGAACACACTTCAGTCATTTGCTGTAATGTTTCTGTCATAATTCTGTGATATTGTCTGTTTCACAGATTCCTTCTACAGTGAGATATTTTGCAGCAGCAGGACCAAAACTAAAAACCTTTGAAGTATATTTTAAATGAACAATAACAGCAGCTGTTATTTGTGACGTCTTCTTCTAGCGTCCATCTGTAGTCACTGTTTGCCTTGTATTTGTCAGAGCTGTTAACCTGCCTGCTGACATCTTTGTTTCTTCATTAACTATATTTGACTTTTTTATCTGAACACCTACCTGAGCACTAAACAAAGAGTCTTAACTGTGTAAATCCTGTCTGTGCACTAAGTAAAAATAATCAGTACAAACAGAAACATGAGTTTAAATATCAAAACATTTAAAATCTCATAGATGTCTTTTGTTTTTCATGTTATCACATTAAATAAAAACTGAAAAATAAGAAAAGGAAACGAAGAAATTCAGTTTGGTTTGATCACAGAGAGAAAGGAAAATATTCAGTTCAGTTCTTCTTTTGGGGAGTTTTAATGTACACAGGCATAAATGGTTGTCATGGAGATGAGATTTTAATGGTCTAAATTTTGGTGAATTAAAATGATGACCTAACATGAGCTCATTGAAAGGACAGAGAGAAACAAACTGACCTGCAGACCAGACAAACTTTGGTTGACTGTGATCAGTGTGATACTCTGGGTCTCCTCTTCCAGCTCTGCACACATATCCTGCTGTGTGTGTTTGTCCATGAATGATGTAGGAGTCCTGTGCAGTCCCACTGCCATCAGGTAGCAGCTCATAACTGGAGGATTTATAGTTGAATGTTTTCAGATCAGGAACAGCTTTATACCAGTAGAAGCTCCATCCTGCAGACGGATGTTCAACCTCACAGTTCAGATTTACTGAGGCTCCAGGACTCAGCCATGATGGAGACACAGTGAGGACAGGACGGGGTTCATCTGTTCAACAAAGGTTTTCTCTCAGTGAACATGTAGTACAGTCTCTGAACAGTGAGCTCAGTTTATACAAATAATAATAATCTCAGTCTATATGAACAGAAACACATTTTACAAAGTGTTCAACCAGCTTAAAGAAAATATGACAGCAAGCAGGAGAAATCTGAGTGAGGGGAAGAGATTCAACAAGAGAGCAAGTTATAAACAGATGCATTTTTACTTCCACTCTTTCACAGTGATGGTGTCCAACTTCAGTCCTTGTGGATAAAATCTGTTTGATGCAGTTTGAATGAGGATTTGGTGAGTCACAGTTGGTTGTCTTTGGTGTCAGTTAGCATGCTATGTGCTTGTGTTCTTTACTAAATCTGATGTTGAAGCCTCTGATAGCTAAGATGAGACCTAGTAAGTGTGTTTTATATTCTTTTGCTGTGGAAGCTGACATTTCCTGTCGATGTGCACAGATGTCTTTAGGCCACATTAATAAGCACGCTGCCATTGCAGGGAGCAGTTTGGATGTGATTTCCAGCTGAGCTGTTAGGAATGCTGGAATAAGACTTCAGTGTTTGTGTTGCACAACAGATCAGGTTAATTAGTCGAGTGCAGATCTTGGCGTTGAAACCTGATACTGCTGAACCTTAATGATCCACCTCTAGGAGATCTGAACTTCCACTGAAATCTTCTGTTCCTAATAATAATGTATACTTTATTGATCCCCATGGGGAAACCCCTCTCTGCATTTAACCCATTCACTCAGTGAAGCAGTTAGCAGCCACTGGCCGCCCGGGGAGCAGTGTGTAGGGATGGTACCTTGCTCAGGGGTACCTCAGTGGATTAGAGCCCCCGACCTTAAGACCTTAACAAAACCCCTGGATTCCTGATGGATCAACTGATATTCCAGAGAAACTGACTCACACTTCTGAACTGTGACACGACTCCACCATAAACTGTTACTGCGACACACAGAGGATTTAATCCAAGAACTGATTCCACACCAGACTGTGACTGTGAAAAGTTTTCTCTGTAAATCTGTGGACAGCTGATTTTGTGCTTTCAGTGTTGTAATTCCATTGATTGTGTTGGTGTTGTACTGGTAACTCACTGTGTTACTGATTATTCCTAAACAGCCACTCTGCAGGTCTAGTGAGTAAACTGAGTCGACTTATATTGATCAGAGTTTGAAGAGCAGCTGAAAGAAAGCTGGTTAACCCTGAAGGAGCTAACACAGGCTAACTTGTAGTTCACACAGATAAGAGTCAAACTAACTTGAACTGGACAGAGAGAGAGACATTTATTTATATTATTACATTAATGCATAAATTAATGTAAACTGGAAACTGTTTGTATATTTCCGTGCCTTCTGTTTCCCAAAAACAAGTTCAAAGTTCACCCTGATCTGTGGTCTGTTATTTTAGGGAAGCTACACAGCAAATTCAAAAGTGTTAAATGTTTTGGTGTTAATAGTCTTCTTGCAAAAGTATAGTTAATTTTACTCTAAGCAGAGTCACATTCTTTTAATGTAACTCTGAGGTGTAAAATGATAGTAGTTAAAATCGAGTGTTAAAAATGAGTGTTTCTATGTCAAATCTGGAGGTGTTACAATGGAAACATTAACTCTTGACCTCTTAACTCTGAACTCCTAGAGGGGCTATGACACCAACAGAGTAAATTCACAGACTCCGCCCCCAGCACGGCTCCAATCGAAGCTGAAGTGAAGCCGTTTCAGAACATTTTGCTCTACATATTTGAGTTGTTTGCCATGCTTGCTAAGTCATTTTTTCAAAGATTGTTTCAATTATTATTATTAGCTTTTACTTCTGTGGCTCTTTGGAGTTGAGACAAAGCTGTGTGAAAGGCATTAGCCATGTTGCTCGCTGATAGCATAATATTCTGTTTTAGCTAGCTGAAAGGTATTGTTTGCGGGCAAATACCACAGCCTTGAAAAAAAGCTTGCATGTGAATTTTCAGTCAAACTTTTGGTCAAATACACCTAAAACAATGTCTAGAATGTGAAATGCTGGTATAATGGTGCTACTTGAAGCCTGAAAACGATCGGCCATAAAAAAAACCAAAAAAACGAGCAAATAGCAGTAGCAGGCGTCCTGACTGGATTCTACGTTAGCATAGATCCCTCCAGAGTTTTGTGCACACGGTTTAGGTAAAAATGAAAAAGGTTGAGGTTTTACATTTAGTTCAGTATTACCTGTTGCCTGTGTCTTTGTCTTTTGGGAAAATACTTTACACAAGTAATGGCTCAAAGAGGATTCCTTTTTTCTTTTTTTTTTAACTGTGCTGCAATTGTTTACTGGATTATTTGTGCCATTAATTAGTGTCAACTAATTTTTATTCAATCTCCGCACAGGATATGCTTGTGAAGATGGAATATGGGGGAGAGCAGAAGTGCGTTGAAGTTCCACAAAGGGATGAATGAAGGACATGCATATTGTATTGAAGAAATAAGTGATGAGAATGCTGTTATTTGCATTTACCATGTCAGACCTTTTGATAAACAAAACTCTAATGAAAGTGAGAACATGTACACTGTTACGTCTTTCAGAAAATGTTTTGAAATTGTGGTGCACAGTTCAGAATAAATGTTTTTCAAAAACCATTGCATCTTTTTAGTAAATGTTTATTTCCAAAAGAAATTTCTAGAAGTTCAGAACAGTAAAATTCCTACTTTTTAGAATGAATTAGAAGATAACTCTTACGTAGTTAAACTAAAATACTCTTTGAGAGTTAATATATAAACTCTTAACACCAAGTGTTAAATTATCAACTCCAGACAGATTTGGTGTTTAACACTAAATCAGAGTTAACGTACCAACTCTCCAAAAAGAGTTAAATTAACACTCTCTGGTGTGGACCCATATAGACACTTTAATAGTGTTGAAATCAAATCCGACAGTGTTAATTTGGACATGCTGGATTTGCTGTGTAGGTATAAACTGCTGGTGAGAACAAAGACTCTGGTCCTAAATATCTGTAAATGTCTATGTAACCCATGGTTATTTTTATTGTAAATGGTATTTTTTTTTTAAGTTTTACTTTTTGTTAAGTTTAAGTTTTCCTATGTACCTTGAATGCACCTCAGCGCTGCTCTACGGTGTGCATTATATGTGCTCCATATTGTCTGCACAGAGAAAGGTACATCTCTCTGTTTATTGCACTGTATTTAATGGGTAAAAGAGCTCCATGAAACTTTGTTTTGAGCAGTGATTTTGTTTTGTAGATGCACAAAGCTGTTGTGGAACTTTCAATCCTGTTGAGCTACAGAGTTAATGTATTGTGTGAAGAATATCCTGGTGAGTCTCGAATTATGCAAATTGAATTGTGATTCACAGTCCGGTTTCAAAGTTCTAAAATCGGTCAGGATATGATGTTTTGTTGGAAATGTGATTGCAGAAGCTGTTAAGGATTTCTTAGCTGTGTTAGCCCTGTGAGAAGTATGCTAGCATACCCACATGTGCTCCCTGGGCTAATGCGCTTGCATGAGACACTTTTCATGATTCACTTGATTTGCACTAAAATGTATAACATTGTTATTGGCCAGTAAGAACTGTATAGATGTATGATATGTAAAGACACTTCGAGAAATTTGATTTTACTTTTTAAAATTTGTACAAATGGGATACAGGGAAGATTAGTCGGTAGAAATATGTGCTTTATTACAAGAGAAGTGATTGCTCCGCAGATTTGTGTGCAGGCTGTTTTCTGCAGCAGATCTTTTTGGTAGAAATCTGCTGCAAGGACCGAGCGGTGCCATCTAAGGACTAGGGATGGGTACCGGTATCGGTTCTGACATAAACAGTAGTAATCAGACCAAAAAGCAGCGCACATTTCGGTGCTTTATTTTGGTGCTTTTTATTCGTGAGATGTCATACACTTTGGACTCTAGCCAATCATTTTTCCTTTCCAAGGATAGAAGGCGGGCCCAGGTATGTATGTTCTTTTAGAACAGAGCTACAGATTAAAAATGCCCAAGGCAAAGCAGTCAAAAGTCTGGCTGTACTTCACAGCAAAAGATGCAAACTCAGCAGCCTGCAACAAGTGCTTTAAGCTGATACTGTGCAAAGGAGATAACACCTCAAATCTGATGAAACACCTGGCAAAGCATAGCGTTTTTTTAAAAACCAAGAAATGCACCGTATTTGATAGCTTGCTGCAAGACCTCACACCGAGCAGCACATCTACTGTGGGTGTGGTGCCTGTTATCGGACCCGGAGCTAGCAACATCCCCCACGAACCCGAAGAGGAGAGTCCTAGCCCCTAGCCCTGCCAGTGTAGCAGAAATGATGAAGGATGATGATGGCAGCAGCAGCCGGTCTTCTCTGGGTGAGTGGCTTAGCCGTGTAGTGACGCATGACAGCCACGGGAAGCCGACGGGTAAAGAGATAGTTTTTTTTTATCGGATTACGTCGTGGAAGAGAAATTGTTCAAGCCATGTTTCCGATGCAACAAAGAGGCGACAGATGGCCTGGATTGCAGCCATTCGAAGACTAAATATAACGTCGAGGAACACTTCAGCTCACATGTTAGTCTGCTCCAAGCATTTCCACAAAGGTAGGTCTTCTGTTGTAGTTATTACATAATTTATCATAACATAATTGTTGATGTAGTTTACAAATAAGTCTTATATTGATTTGAATTGAATTCGTTGCGCTATGCTGCTTTGTTCACTGTGGCTTTGCGGGCTAATGTTTGTTGTGTTTTGTAGGAAAACCAGCCTACAAAATGCTGGAATGTGTGGAGCAGGGAAATTATTTTACTGCTATTGTTAAATAATCATCATTATTACCATTGCATTAATAATATAATCTGCAGTATGATCATTGCTTTAACAATGTAACAGATAGCTTTAAGATGGCCTTAAGATGTTTATGATGATGTTAACTTTGTATTCCAGGTGCAGTTATAACTATTTTATACATATTGCATATCTGTGCTTATTTGAGTTGATGTTCAGGTTCATTAATGGTCTAAAGCTTCACCGAGTGAGAGTGTCTAGATGATCCATGCTGAGGGAAAACTAGAACATAGAAGGAATTGCAGTACATGCTTACACAACAGTTCATTTTAATATCTTTTATATGTTCATATTCTTGTATTAAGCTTTTAGTAGGGGTTCTTGATTAAAACATTTATTTAGTAGAAGACATACATATAGTCTCAGTGAGCCTCTGGTCTGGTAAAAGGTCAGAAGTGCAACAGGTGAATTGAGAAAGAGCATTTGAGGACGAGACACAGACAGTTAGTAGGTGAAGAGGTGACACAGAGAGCATGTGAGGTCGTGACACACACACACACACATGAGTTAGATTTATTTAGAGGAGAGAGAGATTAGTCATGTCTCGGTAAAAGAGGAACCGTCCTTGTATTCTCGGCAAGAAAGAGGAACTGAAAGGTTGACCGGAGGAATCGGCCATGAAAATAGAAGATGATCTTCTGGGTTAAAAGTCATTGTGGTGTTGATCTGATCTATGTATAAAATGTATCTGTGACGCATGAAGGGGCGTCAGTAAATCAAACCCTGATGCTATAAAATATCTGTGTATGCTTTGATTAAGTCGAAGACTACTTGCTGTCTGCGTACAGAGTGTCTTCCCACACGTGTGTAGTCATTAAAATCATTGTTTGACCAAGAGCTTCTGGACCATGGGTGGTTTGTACTCTCCTTCCTCAATTTTGAACCTTAACAAATGCGATCCAGACTGGGCACCCTCTATCAACCTGGTCATACCGAGTTTAAACACCACAGCGAGATTTGATCGGTTAAGAGAGAGAGCGATATCAAAACAGCCACGAAACGTCCCGCATATATGTGCCCAAGGGTTGTATTGAAGCAATCAAGTGATGAATAACTGTTTTCCAGTATGTTGTGTTTTTTTTTTTTTTTGCATTGTTGATTTGTTTGTCAGCGAAGCAGCTAATAAAGCATGATGGAATACAATTTTGCATCTTTCTTGTCAGATTCTATAATAGAATGAAACAATAATGCCAGTTATAAATAAAGACAATAAATTGAATGAATTACGAAACACTCGTTTTTTTTCTATTAGATCCGAAAATGTTGTGTAATACTACAACCTGAAACGACAAATAGATTGCGTTTGCCTGTACAGGAGATAGAGGAAAATAATTTAACAACAGCTGTGAAATGGAATAGTCCAAATCACCAAAGTAAACTGGACCTGGGCTTGTTGCAGGGAGCTGAAGTTAATAAACATCTTGTGAGTGTATGCACTAAAACTTAGGACCATATAATAATAAAATGTGCGTGATGAAAGTTGGGCAGCAGCTAACGTCCTTACTTCACTCTGTATGCTCGTATGGGTCTGACCCTTTTACTCCTTTGATTTTTTCCTCGTCCTTTTTTTTTTTTGCCTTTTCGTCAAGTCTGTCTTTGTACGGACCTGCTGTTGTCCGTCGTTTTGTACACAACTGTTTTTGGGGCAAATAAAATGCAAGTAGGGATTAAAACCGCAGAATTAACGATTACCGGTGCTGGAAATACTAGTGCTTGATGCAGTGTTTTAATTTTGTTGCCATGGGTACCCACAAAGCTGTCATGGTCCCTGTGCCTGCCCGGCCGGCCTCACAAGGCTACACTTGTGTTTTTGCTTTTTCTCTCTCTCCCCTACCTCTCTGCCTGGGCGGAGCTCACAGCTGGCTCCCGCCCTTGGCTCACACAGCTGTTGGCGATCAGCTGATTACCCATCTACTATTTGAGGCTGGGTCACAGATCCTCTCATCGCTGGATGATTGAGCTACTGGCGTTAGTCTTTCTTTTGGTCTTATACCTTTACGCCCTACCTTCGTGATTTGTGAGTGATTTCTCCCTTTCCTGTTCCAGTTTATCTTCCCGGACCTGTGACCTCCCCGTGGTACGGACGTGTGTGAGTCGGATGTGAGGACGTGAGCGAGCGTGAGAGAGAGAGAGCCTTCCCCTAATCCCCTGGAACCCTGGACTTTTCCCGTCACTGTATATAGTATTGCACTGGTGTGTAAATAAATCGTGTTCTGAGACGTCAACCTGCTCTGCGCTTCAGTCCCTGCTTTCAATTTGTGACAAAAGCAATGCGTGAAAGTCACGTGGTCTGTCAATCTCTATAAAATGAGGCCATATTGTTGTCTGCAGTTCAGAGTTCATTAAGTGAAAAAGATGCAGTGTGTGTTTCTGATGAGAGCAGACTCTTTAACTAAAACCTCTAAGATTAATTTAAAAGAGGTAACATGTTAAAAACAACTGAAGTAACTGCATCATATGTTGGTGCAACAGGTAAAAAATAAAAATAAGACAAATGCAGAAGAGAAAATATTGGATGTTACTGTTGTTCTTAGTGGATGTGGTGGAGCAGCTGAAACAGGTTCAGCATTTGTTCTGCACTTCATGTATTAGAGCTGCACAGCAGAGAGGTTACTCTGATATGTTTTGTTCTCTTCACTGTGAATAAAAAGCTGCTTTTTACAGTTTTTTGTTATCAGAATATCCATCCATCCATCCATCCGTTCGCTTCCGCTTATCCTTTTCAGGGTCGCGGGGGGCGCTGGAGCCTATCCCAGCTGTCATAGGGCGAAAGGCAGGGTACACCCTGGACAGGTCGCCAGTCTGTCGCAGGGCCAACACAGAGGGACAGACAACCATTTAAACTCACATTCATTTGCACATTCACACCTAGTGACAATTTGGATTATCCAATTAACCTATCCCCACAAGCTGCATGTCTTTGGACGGTGGGAGGAAGCCGGAGTACCCGGAGAGAACCCACGCAAACACGGGGAGAACATGCAAACTCCACACAGAAAGACCCCGGCCTGATGTTGGAATTGAACTCAGGACCTTCTTGCTGTGCGGCAACAGTGCTAACCACCGTGCCACCGTGCTGCTGTTATCAGAATAAAAGAAAAATATTTTACTTAACAGCACAAAAGAAACCGCTACAAAGCTGCAAAACAAGTGATTTCACTTATTTTGATGGCAGATGATGTGGATGAAACTTACTTAATACAGTCAGTCTGATGATATCACTCCACTCTGTTAACAAATAGTCCCTTCTGCCCCGGCAGCTATATCCTTCACCATCAGATTCAGTAACTGTGATTCTGTATTCACTGGACGTTTCAGGTATGTTTTTCTGGCTTTGTCTCCATTCATACATCCACTGAGCTCCTTCACCTCCCCGAATCTCACATCTGACAGTGACTGTCTCACCGCTGTATATCTGAGTCCAGGATGACTGCAGGGTCACAGTGGGCTTACTGGGAGCTGTTCACATAAGAATGATCCAGTTAGAAGAGAAACATAAAAACTTGGCTTTTTATAACATAAGAGGAGAGTGACTGCAGAACAGCTGATTCACAGACAAACTTTGAAACTTTAAAACAAAGTCACATCATAACAATTTCAAACTGTAACACAACATTTTTTACAAAGTCTGCAATATTTACTTTGCACAGTTATCATCTTTTGTTCAGATTCCAAAAAAATTACAGATTATTTTTCATGAGTTGACAGCAGATTAAGAAGACTGGAAGAAATTATCATGTGAGAAACGTTTTCTAAAAGTTCTGATGAGGTCATCATGTGAAACTGGTGCAGTTGCTGATTTGGGACATTGGAGTGTGTCACACTTGTAGTTATTGTATAACAAACAGGTTTCAAGTGGTTCTGACTGATTTTCCATGAACTGAACCTTAAACCACTGATCCACTAATGCATCTGTTCTACACTGGAGGTTCTTCTAGCTGTGGTATCATTAAAGATATTATGACACTCATGAACACCTTTGTTTTTCATTAATTAAAATAACTGAATGCCATTAACAATAATTACATGAAAGAATCTAAGTGGAACCTGTAATGTAGCAGAACAGTCTCTAATAAAATGAGGTTATATTGTAGTCAAACCTGAAACGTCGAGGAATTAATGTAAAAATGCTAAAAACAAAGGAAGTAACTGATCTGCAGTGATAAACTCCACATGTGCAGCCATGAGGTCAAGATGGGAGCGACTGGGATTATTACATTTGGACTGATTTTTTTTCATCAAACTAACAAAATCTTTTTCAGAGTGATTATTAAATATCTTTATAATGACACTAAAAGATATTTTAAACTGCTTTTTATCCGAAACAACAAAATAAACCTACAGTGCTGTTGAAAGATAAAGTGTTTGGTTGAGTTGATGAAACATTGTGCAGTATAAATTAAAATATGTGAAATATGTCCAACTTACTTATTACTCTCAATGGGGTGCTATTACTCCACTCTGTCCAGGAAGAGCTTCTTGTGGACCGGCAGCTGTATCCTCCACCATCAGACTCATTAACACTGTTGATTCTGTATTCATTGGACGTTTCATGTATGTTTACCTGGCCTTGTCTCCATTCATACGTCCACTGAGCTCCTTCACCTCCCTGAATCTCACATCTGACAGTGACTGTGGTACCGCTGTATATCTGAGTCCAGGATGGCTGCAGGGTCACAGTGGGCTTAGGAGGAGCTGTTCAAATAAAAAATATAACATCATCAGACTTATAGAAATATGAAATGATCATTAAAGCTGTCTTGGTTTTATTGCTCTTGTTCGTGGTAATCACATTTTTTTTTCATCGCAGTGTCAATTTGACTGAAAATCAACATTAAAAATGTTAATAAAAACAAACAGATTAAACCTGGTAATTTGCTGATATTTAGACTCTGCCAGCAGAGTGACTGAAAACAACCAGGTGTGCACAAAACTAAACTGTGAGACTGAACATCAACACATAAACACACAATATCATGTAAACAACTTCAGTTTCTCAGATTTTACATTGTATAAACAATTTTTATAGTCAAATATTGACCGAAACTAGACTGGAAAAAAATTACATTCTTATTTTGCCCCAAATTCATTATGTTTAATTTGGCAAATTAAAGATAAATAAAGTAAAAAAATAAATAAATACTGCTATGAGTAAACATACCAGCAGTTAGAGAAAGGCTAACGTAGCAGAGCAGTCTCTCCTAAAATGAGGCCAAATTGTAGTCAAATCGAAACTTGCTAAATGCTAAAAGAAAAGAACTGCATCATGACACTGAGCTGCAGTGATGAAAACTCCACATGTGCAACAACTGAGGTGAAGAAACTGGGATCATTACATTTGTATTTCATTTTTCATCAAACCTACTGAATATGTCCAACTTACATAATACAGTTAATTTGGTGATATCACTCCACTTTGTCCAGGAGGAACTTCTTTTACCCCGGCAGCTGTATTCTCCACTGTCAGACTTAGTAGCACTGCTGATTGTGTATTCTCTGGATGTTGCAGGTGTTTTTAACTGGCCTCGTCTCCATTCATACGTCCACTGAGCTCCTTCACCTCCCTGAATCTCACATCTGACAGTGACTGTCTCACCGCTGTATATCACACTGCTGTATATCACACTGCTGTATATCTGAGTCCAGGATGGCTGCAGGGTCACAGTGGGCTTAGGAGGAGCTGTTCAAAAAATATATATATATCATTAGCAGACTGATATTTGGCTTGAAAATCAAAAGGTTCTTTTTTTTTAATAAATAAATTAAACCAGGTAATTTAATGATCTTTATATTTAACAATTTACGTATTTCTACATCTTCATATTTACATATTTAGACATTTAGGAACATATAATCCATGAGTCATCAGTTAGCTCTTGTTTGCTAACAATGCTGTTAAACTTCCAGCAATGGATTCAAAGCTGGAAAATGCTCTGCTCTCATAAAGTGATTATTAGTTCATAAATGGTGAAATACAAAGTATTCATGTAGCAACAAAGTCAAAACTACACAAAACCTTTGTAAAAACATTTATCTGAGTTCAGTTTTACAGAAAATAATCTTCATTCAGAATAAAATTAAATTCTTATTTTGCACCAAATTCAAGATGTTTAATTTGGAAAATGTAAAGATAAATAAAGTAAAAAAATAAATAAATACTGCTATGAGTAAACATACCAGCAGTTAGAGAAAGGCTAATGTAGCAGAGCAGTCTCTCCTAAAATGAGGCCAAATTGTAGTCAAATGGAAACTTTGAGGAATATGAAAAAGAAAAATGCTAAAACTAAAGATCTGCATCATGACACTGAGCTGCAGTGATGAAAACTCCACATGTGCAACAACTGAGGTGAAGAAACTGGGATCATTACAGTTTATATTTCATTTTCATCAGATTTACTCAATATATTTTTCTTTTGAGTGATTACTGTTTATAACTCCATTAAAACTTTGTTTACTTTTGTTGATATTTTGTTGTACTTTTGTATGAAATGTGTAAAATAAATTAACATTAAAATGTCCTGTTGTGTGATCAACTTACATGATACAGTCAGTCTGATGATATCACTCCACTCTGTTAACAAATAGTCCTTTCTGCCCCGGCAGCTGTATCCTCCACTGTCAGACTCAGGAACTGTGGTTCTGTATTCACTGGATGTTTCAGGTATGTTTGACTGGCCTTGTCTCCATTCATACGTCCACTGAGCTCCTTCACCTCCCTGAATCTCACATCTGACAGTGACTGTCTCACCGCTGTATATCTGAGTCCAGGATGGCTGCAGGGTCACAGTGGGCTTAGTGGGAACTATTCACATAAGAATGATCCAGTTAGGAGAAGAGAGACATGAAAACTCTGCTGTTTATAACATAAGAGTAGAGTCACTGCAAAGCAAATGATTCACAGACAAACAGTTTAAACTTTAAAACAAAGTCACAACATAACAATTTCAAACTGTAACACAACATTTTTTACAAAGTGTGCAGTATTTACTTTGCACAGTTATCATCTTTTGTTCAGATTCCAAAAGTTACAGATTATTTTTCACGAGTTGACAGCAGATTAAGAAGACTGGAAGAAATTACAGTGCGAGAAACGTTTTCTAAAAGTTCTGATGAGGTCATCAGGTTATATTGTAGCCAAACCTGAAACGTCGAGGAATTAATGTAAAAATGCTAAAAACAAAGGAAGTAACTGATCTGCAGTGATAAACTCCACATGTGCAGCCATGAGGTCAAGATGGGACAGACTGGGATTATTACGTTTTGAGTGAATTCTTCTATCAAAATAACAAAATATTTTTCAGAGCGATTATTAAATATTTAATAATGACATTAAAAAATATTTTAAACTGCTTTTGATACTAACCAACAACATAAACCTACAGTGCTGTTGAAAGATAACGTGTTTGGTTGAGGTGATGAAACACTGCAGTATAAATCAAAATGTATGAAATATGTCCAACTTACTTATTACTCTCAATGGGGTGCTATTACTCCACTCTGTCCAGGAAGAGCTTCTTGTGGCCCGACAGCTGTATCCTCCACCATCAGACTCATTAACACTGTTGATTGTATATACACTGGATGTTCCACGTATGTTTTTCTGGCCTCCTCTCCATTCATACGTCCACTGAGCTCCTTCACCTCCCTGAATCTCACATCTGACAGTGACTGTGGTACCTCTGTATATCTGAGTCAAGGATGGCTGCAGGGTCACAGTGGGCTTAGGAGGAGCTGTTCATAAAAAATAACATCATCAGACTTATAGAAATATAAAATGATAATTGAAGCTTTCCTGGTTTTAGTGGTAATCACATTTTTTTCATCCCAGTGACAATATATTTGTATTTGTACATTTATGAACATATAATCCAGAGTTGTCAATTGGCTGTTATCTAGGGTTGCCAACCGTCCCTTAAAAAACGGAATCGTCCCGTATTTAGAAACAAAAGTACACGTCCCGTATTGAGCTAATAAGGGACGCACTTTGTCCCGTAATACAGTGAGAATCAAAAGTAGTCTATAAATGTTAATGGAATTAACGCTTTGTTTGAAAACATAATTCCCAGCCCCTCTCCTGCTTTGTGACCAATGAGCTGACAGCACACTTATGACAATTCGAGTATGACAAGTCAGATTACCGCTCATCTCATTGGTTGAGGAAAGGTCGCTTACGGAGAAAATACCGGAAGACAACCGATGACCACAACAACAAGCATGGCCAACAGGGGAACAAACGCCGACACTGCGGTGCAAGTCTCGGACGGCACACTGTGCGTCCATAAAATGAAGGTTATAACAGAAAATCTGTCGCTCTCTCTGTCTTTCACTCACACAGACACACCACCACATCAACTTTGCTAAATTGCTAATGAAAAACATTGATCAGGCAGCTGTGATTGAGCAACAGTGTAAATCCAACTATTTTCACGGTTGTTGTGGTCGTGATAATTTTGTGATGCCACATCGAAAAGGCTCGGATGAGCTTTCCAAAGTTCTACAAGTTGTGCCTCCATCGCTTGTGTCCAGATCACACGCTGCACAGCCGTGCTGCAACGTCTTTTTCACCGACGTTTACGTGTTTGCGCGTGAGCAGCTGCGGTGACACCCTCACGAGCGATTGATGATCGGGAGCTGGTCGTGAGGTGTTAATCGCTTCTCGTTACCCCACGTATACTACACGACGCACGATGAAGGCCAAAATCGGGCTGATCACCAAATCGGTCGCACGACTCAAAAATCGTCTCAAAATGGGCCAAAAATCGCACAGTGTGAGCCCAGCATTAGAGCAGCAATGTTTGTTCGCTCAGAGAAAGAAAAAAAGGCTGCAAAAGCACAGGGAGGAATGGGAAAAGGAAAACACCTGGCTGGAAAAGTGCACTATAAAGCGCACTGCACTGTGTGCCGGCGCACTTTTTCCATAGGCATGCTTCTATTGGTGGGCACATGAAGAACATGAGGGGCGTGAAAGCTCGGGGAACCCTTAACCAATTTCTTGTCCACCAGGCCACGGCAGAAGCAGATATGGTATGTAAACACTGGTTTGTTTTTTTTAAACCCTCTGGTTAAGGTTAAAATGGGCATGTGCAGTGAATATCAGCGCTATGTGGCCAGAAGTGTGATAATATAACTTATTTTGTGTAATAAACAAATGCAAGGATAGATGATTACAACAAATAGATGACTAATACATAAAAGTAATACATAGATGAATAATGATGATGAGTTAAGATGCGTAATCATGGGAACAAGCGGGTTTACAAACAGGAGCAGCTGATTAGCTTTAGAAAAGCTGAAATAATACCTCAACTGAAGCCAATTGTACTAAATGCACTAAATGTGCACTGTTACAAGAATATTTTTCGTTCTATTGCTTTCTATTAATTTATATAATTTTAAGTTAAGTAGGACAGAGTTCTTTTAAAGAAAGATTTACTTTTATTCTCAAAAGTTAAGCATGACAGGCTTCTGTTTAAGAAAGAGACCTGTTTTACTGTGTTAATGTTGTCATTGTGAGCTAAAAATAAATGGCTAAATGATCATTTGTTTCCCATATGGTCATATCACAAAGTATATGCATCTGCTTAAATCAAGTTCAAGTCAAATGGTTAAAAAATAATTTCACACACAAAAAAAGAGCTACCACACTGGGAAGGGTGAAGACAACTGGGTTGCCCGGCCCTGGCCACGAGGTGTCCCTTATTTATTTTTCAGGGAGTTGGCAACCCTACTGTTATCCTTCTGAATAACCTGAGATCTTAGTTTCTAAGGAGGCTCAGATCCTTTAATGTGTGGAGCAAGATGTAGGAGATTTTCTACCAGTCTGTGGTAACAAGTGTGTCTATTTTACTGTTGTCTGCTGGGGGGCCCCACTTCAGAGGCACCAGAGCTCCTCTGACTGATTCAACCACGCTGCCATAAAGAACACTTCAATACATCATTCCAACCATTTTCTATAAAGCTGTATAATAACCCTTCATAAAATCCCAAACATATTAGTTATTAATGCAATTTGCATTTCTGTCTTACACAATATGAGCCTTACTTTTACTGTTTTTAACAAACTTTATTTTATTCATTTTTTTCACTGTAAATATAAAAATTTCTGCGCTGTCTCATAGTGTAAGGCCCCACACCAGGCCCCATTGGCACTTTTATTTTATTGTGAAACTTTGTTGTTTATAGTAGACTTTACTACTTTCACTTTTTATCATGCTGCTCTAACACAACAATTTCCTTTGTGGGATCAATAAAGTATCTATCAATATTGACCTGTTGAATATGTGTCCTATGTTGTAAACTCTTAGAGCCGGAACTTTGACGTGAACGACGCGAGCCGGGAGCCGTGTTTTTTTCTTTCTCTCAGGCACTTTTTTTCCGCTTTGCTCCGCAGGCGAGCCTTGTGGTTTGCGCTGGGAAGAGGGGGGAAGGGCGGTAGTTACACTCTCAGTAGCACAGGAACAGAGCCAGAGGGAGAGACAGAGAAAGAGCCACGGACAACAACGTCACATTAGAAAGGTATAGTAATCATCCACAACTATTTTCAGTTGCAGATGATAAAGGATTCAGAAAGTTTATTCATGCAGGCCTATGTGACAGAGAATATGCATCTTCTTTTTGTTTTCATATTTTAATTTATATTTAATTGTGTTGTGGTTTGCAGTGTTTTGTGTTGTTTCATTTTAAATTTGTTTAAAAGGAAAAAAGCTGAAAATTTAAATAGTTAAAAGTTGAAATGTGAATAGTTGGTTTTTGTATTATGATTTATTTATTACATTTTATGTGGATTGAATAAGTAAAAGTATATTTACGGTGGCCCCTAGAGACAAAGCACGTACGAACTTCAAAACACGTACGAACTTCAAAACACGTACAAACTTCAAAACACGTACAAACTCAGAAGCACGTACAAAACACAACAGAAGTGCTCCAGGATGCTGGGCGCAGTGTTGAACTTTTGTTACCTAGTGGCTACACAAGCCAGGAAGTACCAACGACCGGATTTGGTGTGTGGTAGTAACAGGTAAATGAATATTTTTGTTTAAATTATTTGAATATATATGAGTGCTTGTGTATAAATACACAAACAATACACATATGCTTTCAATTGTGTAATTTAAGTGATCTAGGTAGCTCTGTTTTGGAAGTTCATTTCATTTTGGGCTGTTTCAATGTGGACGCACAACTCTGTGAAAATGACTGAAAACGCCAGTGTGGACTCGGAGCATTTTCGGACGTAGCCTAAATGTTGTTTCTTGGAACTGCAGAGGGCTACAACAAAAGAAAAGTTAAACAGGTTATGAATTTGAATCACATATAAATTATCTGAAGTTGTTTTCTTACAAGAAATTCGACCTTTTGAATGTCTGAGTGCCGGCATGTGACGGCCGTACTGAATACCATTTTGAGTTGTTCCACTGACATTTCAGCGAAATGGATTAGCCACATCATTTTTACACTTTGATTTGTGAGGTATCTTTGAATTCAGCCTGCTGTAAGTTTGTAATTTTCAATTCCATCAAACAAAGTGATGTCCTTTTGTTCCTAACATAAGCTTACATAAGCTGTGATCTTAAGTTTTTCTGTAAACCTTTAGCAACATGTTTTTAAATAACTTAGTTTCAAATGATTAATAAAGCACAGAAAGAGTTCATCATAAGCAGGTAAGGTTTTCATCGTGTGAGATGTCGGATTCAGCAATTTTGTTTTTCGATGGCAGTTCGGCAGTTCGATGGCAGTTAGCACTATTGTGCTAACTGCCATGTTACAGTGTTGCCCCAGAAATGCTTTTTGGCACTTCTGGAGCTCCTCCTGAGCTCAGGAGGAGCTGTTTAAATGCACTGTGTGTATGTTCCCCCGTGTGTGTCTGTGTGGGTCTAAAGGCTTCTTCCTGCAGTCCAAAGACGTGCAGTTCAGTTTTACAGAAATTAATGTGTGAAACTTAAAAAATATTTTTACGCTACTTTTGATACTAAAATAAAAAGATTGAAAGACAAAGTATTTTGTTGTGTTTTTGATGAGACTTTGTGCAATATAAATAAAAAAGGGTGAAATATGTCCAACTTACATGATACAGTTAATTTGGTGACATCACTCCACTCTGTCCAGGAGGAGCTTCTTTTACCCCTGCAGCTGTATCGTCCACTGTCAGACTTAGTAGCACTGCTGATTCTGTATTCACTGGATGTTGGAGGATGGTCCAGGTTGTTTCGTCTCCATTCATACGTCCACTGAGCTCCTTCACCTCCTTGAATCTCACATCTGAGAGTGACTGTCTCACGGCTGTATATCTGAGTCCAGGAGGATTGCAGGAACACAGCAGGCTTAGGAGGAGCTGTTCAAATAAAAAAAAATATATCATTAGAACAATGATAAATTGACTTCAAAATCAATAATCAAAAAGTTATTTTTTAATAAATAAATTAAACCAGGTAATTTACTGATCTTTATATTCAACAATTTATTTATTTCTACATCTTTATATTTACATATTTAGACATTTATGAACATATAATCCATGAGCAGTCAGTTAGCTCTTGCTGTTAAACCTCTAGTGATGGATTCAAAGCTGGAAAATGCTCTGCTCTCATAAAGTGATTATTAGTTCATAAATGGTGAAATACAAAGTTTTCATGTGGCATCAAAGTTAAAACTAGACTGCCAAAGAAATACTTTTGTAAAAACATTTATCTGAGTTCAGTTTTACAGAAAATAATCTTCATTTAGAGTAAAATTAATTGCTTATTTTGCCCAAAACTCATGATGTTTAATTTGGAAAGTGTAAAGATAAATAAAGTAAAAAACAAAACAAAACTGCTGCTATGAGTAAACATACCAGCAGTTAGAGAAAGGCTAATGTAGCAGAGCAGTCTCTCCTAAAATGAGGCCAAATTGTAGTCAAATGGAAAGTTTGAGGAATTAGAAAAAGAAAAATGCTAAAAGAAAAGATCTGCATCATGACACTGAGCTGCAGTGATCAAAACTCCACATGTGCAACAACTGAGGTGAAGAAACTGGGATCATTACATTTGTTTTTCATTTTTCATCAAATTTACTGAATATATATTTTTGTGAATGATTACTGTTACATTAAAAATTAATTCACACTACTTTTGTTGTTATTTTGTATAAAATGTGTGAAATAAATTAACATTAAAATATCCTGTCATGTGATCAACTTACATGATACAGATAATGAGATGATGTCACTCCACTGTGTGTAGAAATTTCCCCTTCTTCCTATGCAGCTGTATCCTCCACTGTCAGACTCAGTAGCTTTGATGATTCTGTATTTATTGGATTTTTCATGTATGTTTGACCAGTCTTGCCTCCATTCATACGTCCACTGAGCTCCTTCACCACCCTGAATCTCACATCTGACAGTGACTTTCTCACCGCTGTATATCTGAGGCCAGGATGGCTGCAGGGTCACAGTGGGCTTAGGAGGAGCTGTTAAAAATATATCATGAGCAGGCTTACAGAAATACAAATTTAATGCTGTCCTGCCTTTTTTGCTCTTGTTAATGGGAATAATATTTTTGCATCGTGTTGTAAATATGACTTGCAATACAAAATGTTCTGACATGTTGATTATTACTTAAAGAGATAAATACATGACTGCTTTTCTGATGTCATATGAGTCTGAAATGTAGGTTTCTTCAAATTCTACTTTTGTTTGTTATTGCCTTGAAATTTTCCAGCAGAGAAGCAGCTGATGGCAGCATGTGTTCAGCATGTGTTCAGCATGTGTTCAGTCGAGGAGATTCAGTGACAACATTTAAAGCTTTGTCCGAGTTTAGCTGGAGGACATTAGCTCACATTCAGTTTGAGCCTCAAAGTCATCAGTCATTAAGAGAACTCAACATGCCAGGGTCACATGGTCTAAGTACAGCATATCTTTGTGTCATCAGCATATGCAAAATAAGATGCACCATGTGTCTCCATTACATGTCCAATATTAAGCACATATAAGGAGAGCAGGATCAGACTGACTCTATTGTGCTGAACACAACAGTAGTTTTGCCAAAATCTGTTTGTAATTTTATAGACAAGTCCAAACTTTTCTGAACCAATCAATTCATACAAACTTTTAAAAAGATAATCGGGAATGTAAACATGTCACAGGAAACTGTTTACAACATCAAGCACGTGGGCTCAACAAAACTAACTTGTCTGCTCTCCATTCATACATCCACTGAGCTCCTTCACCTCCCTGAATCTCACATCTGACAGTGACTGTCTCACCGCTGTATATCACACTGCTGTGATACTGTGAGACTTAACGCAGGGGTTGAAAACACAAGGGGAAACTAATAACCAAATGAACTTAGAAAACCCACTGAACACTGGGTCAAAAGACCCAGGATCGTGACATTTAAAAAAAAAAATTATTAAATGAATTAAATCAGGTAATTTACTATATGTTTTTATCTCCAGATGTTTCACTGTGAGTGATTGCTGTGTATTATTATAATTACATTAAAAGCTGTTGTACATCAGATTTAATATTTAGATATTTAAATAAAAACCAAAAGCTTGAGGTTTGTTGAAAGACAAAGTATTTTGTTGTGTTCTTCGATGAAACATTGTGCAAGATAAATTTAAATGAGTGAATCCCACTTACATAATACAGTCAATGTGATGTTGTCAGTCCACTCTGTCCAGGACGAGTCTCTTTTGCCCCGGCAGCTGTATCTTCCACCATCAGACTCAGTAGCACTGCTGATTGTGTATTCTCTGGATGTTGGAGGTGTGTTTAACTTGGCTGCTCTCCATTCATACGTCCAATGAGCTCCTTCACCTCCATGAATCTCACACCTGACAGTGACTGTCTCACCTCTGTATATCACACCGCTGTATATCTGAGTCCCGGATGGCTGCAGGGTCACAGTAGGCTCAGGAGGAGCTGTTTAAATAAAAAAATATATGATTAGGAGATTGACTTGTGAGTTTGATTTGAAAATCAATAGCAGAATTATACAAATATCAAATCATCATTAAAGCTGTCCTGGGGTTTTTTTTTTGCTCTTGTTAATGGTAGTCATAATTTTGCATCCTGGTGACAATTTCACTTGAAAATCAACTTTCAGGAGGTTTGTTTAAAAAAACACACACAGGTAATTTGATGATATTTAGAATCTACCAGAGTGAATGAAAACAAACATACAAATAATCCTGAAATGAGGGAAACTGAGTTTTCTGTTCCACAAAGAGAGTTAACTCTTTGTGTAGACAGCTCTCTGTGTTTTGCTCTTAAAGTTGTGTTTATAAATCTGTGGAGTTATCAAAACATTGGTTCCATATAGAAAAGTTGTTTCTGTGGCTGGTTGTGATTTCATGTCAGGGCTCAGCCCATTACAGAGGACAAAACAGTAATATAGTTGAGTTCTGTACGGTCTGCAGTTATTCAACTGATTTTTTCCAAAGCCAGTAAAGAGACTGTTTCAGTCATCTGTGTGTGAAGAAATAAAAACATGTAAACAAGTGTCTGTGTCTTTAAATGATTATCTTATCACGAAATAAATTATTTTGTGATCAGATAAACAAATGGCTTCATTTGTTTTCTATTTTCTATTTTTTTGAATTCTATTTTGTTGTTATTGTCTTGAAACTTTCGAGCAGAGAAGAAGCTGATGGCAGCAAATGTTCAGCCGAGGAGAGAGTTTAGCTGCAGGACGTCAGCTCTCATTCAATTTTGAAATAGTAAGAAACAATTTTTTTTCTCGTTTTTACCCTGAGTGATTACTTAATATTAATATAATAACATTAAAAGCTGTTGTGCATGACTTTAGATATCAAACTAAAAAAAGAAACGCACAGTACTGTGGAAATTATTTTGCAATCTTTTTGGAATTAAAATGAGAGAAATGTGTCCAACTTACCTGTTACTCTCAATGTGGTGACATCACTCGACTCTGTCCAGGTGGAGTTTCTTCCACCTAAGCAGCTGTATCCTCCACTGTCAGACTCAGTAACTGTAATTTTGTGTTCATTGGATGTTGGAGGTGTGTTTAACTTGTCTGGACTCCATTCATACGTCCACTGAGCTCCTTCACCTCCATGAATCTCACATCTGACAGTGACTGTCTCACCGCTGTATATCTGAGGCCAGAATGGCTCCACAGTCACAGTGGGCTTAATGGGAACTGGTCACATAACAATGATCCAGTTAGGAAAAGAGAAACATAAAAATTCACGACATTAGAGTAGAGTCACAACAAAACAGCCAGCAGTTGTTAAAGTACAAACAACTTCAGTTTTTAAATTAGTGTCCAATCATTAAAACATAATGATTAGTGCATAAAACGTTCACCGGATAGATTTATGCACAGATTTATGCTAATACACAGTCAGTACATGAAGCTCGTTTTGATACAAGGCCTTGGGAAATAGAGACGCTGATGGTGTCACAGCACCCTCTGGTAGAAACAAAATAAAATAAAATAATAAAATAATATAACATAAACAGAATTATAGAAATGTAAAATCATTATAAATATCTGTCCTGGTTTTATTGCTATTGTTAATGGGAATCATAATTTTGTATTCTAGTGACAATTTGACTTGAAAAACAAGTTTTGTTGTCATTGAGGACGCACTGAGCCTAATAATTATTAATTTGACATATTTAGTTTTCTAAGTACTGGTTTGAACAGTGATTCCCTCCATAATTCAGAGAAGGCCATTTTAAACTTGGAAAAAACATCTAAACTCATCAGTTTCCTGAATGACTAATGAATCACTTTTAATTTGTGTTTCTTCTCCTTCCTCTGCAGGTGTAGATGTCTCTATCAGATATAGAGATTGCAGTTAGAGCTCAAAGAGATGATCTCATTATCAGATGGGTTTTTTCTGAAATCAGATTCTGTCTGCACAGTCCATCAGAGGTCAGAGTTACACTGCCCCCTGCTGCTGTGGTTGTGCTGTCAGCTGTCAGAGTGGCCTTGATTTTAAGTTTTGTAAGTTAGAAAAATATGAGGTTGTTATTGTGATCCTTTTAGTGGAAGAAGAAGAAACCCACAACATCTGCCACACAGATGTTCCAGCTGCAGTTTTCTTTCCTACTGCAAATGTGAGCAGTGATGGCAATAACGGCATTATAAGTAACGACGTAACAAACAGACGGTTGAAGCTGTCTTCAGCTTACGGCATCTTATATCAGTTGCACGCAAGTAGCTGTCTACGTAAGCAGCTGCGCTCTCCCATGGACAGCAATCACTTTTTGTCACAACACCTGAAGCTCAGGTGGCAAAACAATTGCATGAGTGCTGCTGTTTGACTGCGGAAGAATAAAGTAGTCGTGGTAAGCCAATCACATGACCACTTCAAGATGCCAAAGCAAGAAGGTGATATAAACCAGTTTTTAAATTGTGTTGATAGGCCACGTAAAACCAGAGTCATGATAAACAATGTATATGCTGTGTTTTTTTCCTGAATACTTTCGTCACATTTACTGTCTAAGGACAGCGCTAGCAAGCACTCTCTGCTTATGAGCAAAAAATAAACAAAACAAAAAAACAGCCCGTTCCTGTTCGTGGGAAAATGTACAATGTCGACCAATGAAAAATTGATATGGCAACATGACATTTGGTTGTTTAGGAAGAGGGGGAAGTTTTAGGAGTGACAGAGAGAGAAAGAGAGAGAGTTTTAAGATGTGAGAGATTTGTGACGTTTAGCGTGTTTGGAGCGTGTAGTTAGTGTTGTCTTGTGTAGTTAGTGTGTAGTGTTGTGGATAGTTTTGTGTTGCGTGTCAGAACAATGAGGCGACTGCTGTCTCCAGGTAGAAAACAGGAGTGATACACCTGCTGCTGTCAGACCTGCAGGTATCAGGCCGTGATGTTCTCCTTTATAGTGGACAGAAATTATTTTTTTGGAGTGGCACAAATAATTTGTGGCATCTTATTGAATGCAGAACAGCTGATTGTTCTGTAAATAGTTTGAAATGACTGGGAGCAGGTGAGCCTGGTTTCTATTGACATAACCACCACCAGCAGAATAACGTCACTTAAATGAGTGAGTAATACGCCACCTGGTGGTTTGTTCTGAGCGTGAGAAAAAGCCTGAGCCTGTAAGCCTGAGCGCAGGGTTTATGAACCCTTTACTTATAGAAAACTCTCCAAATTCACTTGTGGATCTGTCACAGCAGAAGTGCAATCTTGTGAATCATAACTGTGATCTGTTAGCATTGACTAATAAACACGCATGGAAAAGGAAATCAGTCAGTTTCAAGGAAACAAACTCTAGTAAATGTAAAGTTTGTGTAGCAGCTGAAACATCTGCTCACATGGTTGCACTCTTGATATGATCATTTTAGTATTTTAAACAATAAACGCAGTGGAGTGTGAGCTGTCACATTTAAAATATTTTATCCCTCAGGTTATTCCTGAAATATAGTTTGTTTCAAGTTTGTTATATGACGGGTCACATTTATTCATCCCGTAAGTAAATGATTCTACAGTATTGCTCAGCAAATACACTTCTTCCTGGTCTGTTAATGTGAAAGTCCGCCATCTAGTGGTTAAATAGCGGAAGTGCCAAGTAATGGCTAGAGCTCCGTGTCTGTGATAGTTCTGCATCTGCTGCTCTTGAGATGGGATAAAGTGTAAGTTTGGGCAGATGATGGATTGTTTCTACATATTAGTGCTCTGTCCTTCTTGTGGGTCTGTGAAGTTTATTACATTACTACTGTAAGCTAACTGTTAGTGCTTTGTTTTGCCTGTTAGCATAAAACATGTCAGCATGTGGTATTTGTATTTACGTCACTTGACAGGCTTTGTCCATTTATTGTTAATGTTATGATCTTGCATTGGTCATGTGACATGTGTGTATCTACACTGAGATTAAATATACCTGCTCTGTTTTGTTGTTACAGTTTTACAGACTGAAAGTGGTACAAATGGTACATCAGTAAAAGCTGTGAAGAACGCCACAGTCTCCACATGGAGCGCTTACTGAAGCCATTTATGTTTAACTGCACAGGCTGAATAGAAGCATTGAGTCTGTGCAGAAGATAACATGTAAACACAGGGAGGATATTATTGAGCACATTATAGGAGATAACAGCTACATATATGAACAGGAAGAAAATAATCATTTCTTACCTTCAGCATTTCCACAGATGACAGTACTGAGCACTAAAATAATGAATAAAACCTCATCAGACATTATACAACTGACAAGATCAAAAACAATATAAAGTAAGACTTTCTTAAAGATGAACAGTAATAACCAGTAATCTGTTTGACAATAAAATAAAATAATCATAAAAATCCAAACTGTTGTAACACAGTGTGTAACTATTAGTGATGCAAAAAGCAGCAGTGTATCAAACATTTAAACACTTAAAGAATCACAAGTCTGCTTTGTTCCAGCTCTCAGGTAAACAGGTTAAAGCAGTGACTCACTGTAATTCTCACAGATCAGAAACATTTTCATTAATCGCTGCCGTTCAAACAATGTCAGACGTGTACTTACAGAAAAAGCCCATCATGCAGAGCAAAGAGTGCCCCATCGTCACATCCAGCCTGCTGCACTCTGATCCTCAGATAATCAAACAGTTTTAGTTTGCAGATAAAGGAGAAGTTTAATATAGATACAACAAGAGTTTTTCTACAGGCTCTTATTCTGATTGGTCTCTCTGTGCTTCCTGCCGTTACACACAAAACTCAAACAGCTCCTGTAGCTTTGACCGCAGCAGTTGGTTGACATGTTTATATTTCCTGTCCACTGCAAACATAGAAGCTTGTTTCTTTTGTTGTGTTGTTTCCTTTCTCTATAATATATAAAGCTGTTCTGTTGCTTCATGTCAGGATATTTCTTTTGCCCGTTTGGGGTATTTTTTGGCTGCAATATCCACTAATATTTGTCTCCTGGCAGGTTTCTGCAGACTGGGAGTCACTGAGAGTGAATATACCAAAACAGCTTTTCTACTTTGGTGCCTGTATTTTCACTAAAGCCTTTTAAAATCATTTTTCTCCTTTTGATTGTTTTAAATTAAATTCTTACTTTAGGCTGCATTAAAATATGTTTATTTTATTTGACTCTTAGCTGAAACATCATCATGCAGTAATATAGTGAAAAGGCTTCTTTGACCTCAGACCTGTGAAAGTTTCCACCTTGTGGTTAAATTCTGGTTTTAAGTTTGGTTGAGACCCAAACACAGGAAATGACTCCGTGTGTGGCTGAAGTGAGACTAAAGACTTTTATGTTTCACCAACTAAAGAACAATTAAATTCATAGATAAATTCAAAGTTATATTTATTATCTGTTGTCATTTCAAAGTAAAGCAGGAACTCATTTATTCTGCAGACTGTTCTTTGTCTTGCTTTGACATGTATGTGCAGATGCACACTGACCTCAGCCTCTGACTACATGTAAACACAATAAAATAAAACAAACTGATGTGAAACAATGATTGAAACACTGTAATAATGATGTTTGTATTGAACACCACATGTTACCAACCAAGATCATGTGATTGTGTTCAGAGTCAGTTCAAAAAGCAGACCCACATATCCAGAGCAGGACTCAGAGTACCAAACAAAGGTGACCTTTATTATGAAGCTGATAGTTTCAGGCCTCGATGGTAACAAATGAAGAAAACTGAGTTACAGATAACTGATCACAGGAACACAGAGACTTACCTGTGGGTCATCACAAAGTCTTCCAGATCACAGAAGTTTCAACTTACACCCTCCAGTCAACATAAATAAATAACTGAGACTTAAACACTGTGTGATTCCACAGACGTTAATCTGTCCAAATGATTCAGTGATGTGTAGACTAATAGATCAGAAGATACTGTGGTGTATTACCTACAACATGACTGTAGACGGATGTTTTGTTTCTGTGTATCTAATGTTATAATAATTATTCCTGATAGACTTTTGCCCTTATTTTTACTCATGTTGCCATAGTAACTTTAAATCGTAAAAGTCTACTGAGAAAATGCACAAAGCATCGCAACAAACCACATGTTGCTTCATTGTGTTAAACAGTTCACTTATAACTGGAGCAAACTTCCACTTCCTCTTTACATTTACTGAAGTTTGCTAACAAGAGTAAGTAACCACACCAGACACCACATCCACACCAGAGTTTTTGAAATTATTAGAGCGGTGGTTTGATGTGGATGATTGTTTGTCCTTGTATATTATGTGCATGTGATCACAGCCCTGGGCCCTGTCCTCAGCTTGTGACGGGTCCCTGGACTCTGGGAGGGTCGGCTGCCCGTTGCCTCTGGTTCTCAGAAGCTCTCCTCATGGGGTCTCTGTCTTCCTTCTGCTCTCTTTCAGGTGCTGTTTGTTTTCTGTATCGCTACCTCTTTTTTCTCTTTCTCTCTCTTTCCTTCTCTTTCCTTCTTCTAATTTCTTCTTCCTAGTCTGGACCTCCCCACCTGTCAGCTCTGGCACTGTTACAGTAAAGATGTGTAATCTTTTTTTTTCTTTTACTTTAATACCTGTAAATACTTAATGTAGCAGTTAAAGCACAGTTTCTATAGTAAATGTTCTTCCTCATTTTAACTCTGCAGGCTGATGAAGGAAACAACAAAAGATCATTGAGGTTTGTTTCAGTGCAGAGATGGTGCAGATAAGACTGCAGCTCTGTGTGAACTTGCAGTTAAACAAATAACAATGTTTACACAATATTTTCCATCATTTTGAGAAGTGATCCTTCCTGTCACAGTCTGAGCTACAGGTCAGAGTTTAAACACTTTCTGCATATGTTCATGGTCTCAATCATTAAAGTTTCACATCTTACTGACATGTTAATAGTCTAAAGCAGCGGTCCCCAACCTTTTTTGCGCCACGGACCGATTTATGCCCGACAATATTTTTATGGACCGGCCTTTAAGGTGTCGTGGATAAATACAACAAAATAAAACTAGTACTGGTACCGAAAAAAGAAGATTTATTCATAACACACGTGAAAAGACCAAGGAAAACTGAGTAAATGATAAAAACGATAACAAAATAACGCTGAAAACCGATAAAAACCCTGAAAACTATACATTTCACACCTGAGCCTCAACTCTTGAGGCCCGGTACCAAACGACTCACGGACCGGTACCGGTCCGAGGCCCGGGGGTTGGGGACCGCTGGTCTAAAGTATTGTCCTCATCAGGGTATAAAGAGGACAATAAAGTGCAGTGTGCTTTAGGACCTTATGTTTGCTGGATACTGGTGGCTTAAAATAAGAGATTGCTACACACAAAACTGTTGTTTCAAACCACATGCTGCATTTCCTCTTTTCTATGTGGCCCAGTCGAATATGAGGCCATTCAGTGGATTAAAAATAAGCCTGTGGCAGAACAGACAGCAACCACCAACAACCCTTCATGCACACTGTAGCTGCCGCCCTGTGTGTCGGCATTATTCTGTATTGTCATGTTTGCAGTTTGATGAATTTATAGATAGAGTTAGAAGAATATATATATATTTTTCTTATTTTAAACATTTAAATATAACTGAAATAACAAGAGAAAAAAGAAAAAACAAAACGTAAAAATCATCAAGTTTTCATGTAAATATCTATGTCTACAGAATGTGTGTGCTCGAAAAGGAGTAGGATGAAGTTTACACTTTTAATAACAGTTTGCATTTATATAGCGCTTTTCAGGATCCCCCAAAGCGCTTTACAATTCCACTATTCATTCACTCTCACATTCACACACCGGTGGAGTCAGCTACAGTTGTAGCCACAGCTGCCCTGGGGCAGACTGACAGAAGCGAGGCTGCCGTATTGCGCCATCAGCCCCTCTGGCCATCACCAGTAGGTGGTAGGTGAAGTGTCTTGCCCAAGGACACAACGACCGAGACTGTCTGAGCCGGGACTCGAACCGGCAACCTTCCAGTTACAAGACGAACACCCAACTCTTGAGCCACGATCGCCCTTTTCCTGTTCCTAGCCTCTTATCTCAAATGTAATTGCTTACAGATCCATAGCTAGAATTCAACATTATTTGATCCACACATGTTTAACTATGTACAAGTCTAACACATGAACATACACAAATAAAACCATTTGCAGCATGTAAACCAAAACAACAACAAACGACATTTTTACATAAACTAAGCATCCTGTGTTTAACATCTGCTTAATCTCTGAGCTTATTTTATGTGACAAACACCTTAATAAACACTTTGGTTAAGCTTTGGTTACTCTGGCCTTGATCTATTAGAATGAGGACACAATGAGACAACTCAGTCACTGAGAGGAAGATTTCCTATATTCATGCAATTTATATTATTAGGCAATTGTGTGAATTTTTGTACTGATGTACTTGTCTTGATTTCATCTGTACAGGTGTTCCACACACTAACTCCTCTGACTGTCATGCTGTGATATTTTACATTTGTCCTTACTATTGGCTTGCTGAACATAAGGATTCCTCTCATGAGTATTTGGTCTTACATGGAACAAGTTCTGAATTTGTGGGGCAAAGATTTATTTGCTGATTTGTACATTGTTTGCACAGTTCTGAGGTCAACCAAATCTTTAAATTTGAGAATATTTAATTTGATAAAAAGTGGATTTAATGGTTCTCTTGAACTAGTTTTATTTCTTATGCTTATTGCTCTTTTTTGCAGAATCTATATTGGATGGGTGTGTGTTTTATACGTCTTTCCCCACACTTCCCCACAGTATGTCATGTACAGCAGTATAATGGAACAATAGATAATATAATGATGTTTGATTGATGAGATCCTTAACCTTGTAGAGAATTGCCAGAGACTTTGATATTTTGCCTTTGATATAAGTAATGTGGTGAATCCAGCATAGTTTGTGATGTATTATCACACCGATGAATTTTATTTCAGATACTCTGTCTAATTCAATGTTATTTATTGTCAGTTTACTATTGGTAGAATATGTGCGATTCCCAAATATTATGAATTTTGTTTTACTCAGGTTCAATGTTAATTTATTAAGGTCAAACCAGGTCTTCAGATTATTTAATTCATTTTATAGTTCATTCAGATGTTGCTCCAAGTTACTTCCACAGCACAGTAAGTTTGTATCATCTGCAAATAATATTACTTTCAAAGAGTTTGAAATTGCACATTTCTCATTAATGCACAATATGAAAAGCAGCGGCCCCAAAACTGATCCTTGGGGAACCCCACACACAATTTTGGCATTTATGGCATTTATTTATGTATTTATTTATTTTTACAGTTTTTAAGGTAACTGTTAACCCATGATAATGCCACCCCTCTGATTCCATATGTACATAGTTTGTTAAGTAAAAGGTTGTGATCAACTGTATCAAATACTTTCTTTAAATCTAAAAAAAACTCTGACAGCATATTCTTTGTTTTCAAAACAGTGTTTACTCCATTACTTAACTCCATTAAGGCAAGCGTTGTGGTCCTTTTGGGTCTAAATCAATATTGCTCTTCATAGAGCACATTATATGACTTTATCACCAAAAACAATCTATTGTAAAATATTTTTTCCAGTATCTTAGAGAACTGCAGTAGTAGAGAAATGGGACGATATTGGAACTACTTTTGCAA